GCCCTTAACACCGTCGCCGTCACCGACAAAGCCAACACCAGCACAACATTGTCATTCGCGTGTTTGCGCCAACCGCACTCTAGCTTACCAGCACACCGCAGCGCATTACGCTCTTCCGGCACATTAATCAAAAACTCATTTTTGGTATTGCCAAAACAGTCGTGATGAAAGCCACGTCGCGCCCTCATCCCACAGTTCCCGTTCCCCAGCCGGTTCTCATCAGTGAAGCGTTCCGATATTCCACAAAACATTCTGCACGCCTCTAATGGGAATGACATGGCTTAAACCTGCTGGCACCTCTTCCCGCATCGCGTTTGCATCGTTGCTGTTGTTGTTGCAGTGCGTCATTGTTAGCTTCCATGTCAGCTGCGCCCGTGAGCGCTTCGCGTTCATTGTGATTATTCACTCACCCCTCCGAGGAGCCACATCCGGCCCGAGCGTTTGGACCCGCGGGTACATTTAAGTGCCCTGACATTGAGTCATATTTGTCATCCGCGGTTATCATTTTGTATGTTTTGCTCGTTTTTGTTTCGACGCAGTCAAGCTGAAACTCATCCACAAAACATATGCAAATGCAATTACATACAGACAGACGTGTATACGGTATATAGTATGTAAAGTAACATATTTGCAGCGAGGCGTATGACAAACAATGAAATTTTCAAATCGTCAAAATTAAAAACGAAATCTACAATTGCGCCGGCAGCGTCACAAAGCTGATACCGACTGCCAATTTAAATTGTTTTGCGACGAACAATGAAGTGTGGAGAGCTTTGGAAAATGCCTGTTCATTATCATATATTTGAACACAACGCCGCTGGGATGGCTCAGCCTGTTTACAGTTCGTATTGATGTGGGCAATTTACGACGAACATTCAAAAAAGGAGTCTCACTCCTAACCCAGTGGGCGAATGTTAAGTAACCCCAGTGCAATGAAAAGAGTGTTTTTACGTTAAAAACTAAATTGAAATGTTTTTTTTTTTTTTGATAGGCTTCTGTAAAAAATTTGGGTTTTGTGTTTTGTCCAGCTACCCGTATCTCACCACACTTGAGACTCACAAGCAGTTCCGTCACGCTGAATATACATGTATAGTTTTGTATTGCTTTTTTGATAGCATCGTTGCCCGCACAGAATTCCAGGTTCAAATCAAGTGCTGCAAAGCGCCTGAGTGGCTTTCGTATAAGTCTTGCAAAATCATTGCTTTAGATCTATTATGATTGAACCAAATATGTTATAAACTGTGTCCGATTCGGATGGGTCTCATTTTCGTGAAGTTCTTTTTTAAGCTCTAAATGTATTTCTCATTTTATTACTCTGCTTTCGTTTAGTAATTTTCTATAATTGGGAAAACATATAATTGAAATATCTGAACATTAATTTTTTTAGTTTAGTTTTTACATATTTCTTAAGTCTATACCTTTAAAAATAACATACCTTCTAATTTTTTAAATAAATATTTCAATTAATCTTTAAATATCTATTTAAAAAAACAAAAAAACGTATTCAAAGCGTTGACCATTGCTTTTTACACATACCATGCCAATAGAAATGTTTGTCTTTTGAAGCAAACCAATCAGACACCCAATTATCGACTTCTGCGTAGGAATCGAAGTGCTGCAGAGTCAATGCGTGTTCCAACGATGAAAATAAATGGTAATCGGAATTTGCCAAATCTGGTGACTACGGCGGGTGTGGTAGCAGCTCTCAACCAAATATTTCGATTGTATCCTGAACCGATTTTGCTTTGTGTGCAGTCGCAGTATCGTGTGACAAAATTACTTTGCCCTGTCTTCTGGCGCATTATGGTCAATGCATTGTTCAAATTGATTACTTGTTGTCTGTAGCGATTAATATTAAGAGTTTCCCCAAGTTTAAGAAACTCATGATATACTACACCCTTCTGATCCAACCAAACACAGATCATTGCCATCTTACCGAATCCAACTGTTCTTGCAGTCGATGTTGATGATTGTGCCGGGTTAACCCATGTTTTTTTTGCGTTTAGAATTATTAAAATAAATCCATTTCTCATCGCCAGTGACAGTTCGATGCAAAACTGATTTTCTTTCGTGTCTTTGAAGCAAAATTTCACAAGTGCTTTTTCTGTTTTCAACTTGTCTTTCACTCAATTCATGTGGCACCCATTTGCCACACTTCTGGATCTTTCCCTTAGCTTTTAAACGGTCTGAAATTGTTTGTTGTGCAACATTTAACATGACTGCCATTTGCTTTTGACTCAAAGTATCATCTTCAACATCTAATGTTTCAAAGTCATTCTCCGAAATCAGTTTACGAAATTTCAGTATAAAAGTATGAACAGGTTTATATTATATAAATACAAGTATATATTGAATATATATATTTGAGATTTATAACTCAATGAAAAAATCGTTTTAAACTGCAACGCTCATAACCTTAAAGGAAAATGTTTGCTCCAAAAAACTCTTTTTTATACCCATCGTATATATATATATATTAAATGCTCTATTATGTATATGTACTCGACTAACTTAATTCCGTTGCAAAGAAATATTATGCCAACAAATGCCTTAGTTTACCGAAATGCTACCATGTGACACATACCATAGCCATATACTTGTATGTACCTGTATGTTTGTATTGCCAGCAGAGAAGTGCATCTGTCTGTTAAGGAAATAAATGATTCACGTCCATACGATGCTCCACTTTCATTGCTCATTCCACTGAAGACCTTGAAAAGCTTCATCTCTCTAACGTATGACGTTTGTGAGTTTTCACCGTCAGCCGTAGAATATTTGCAAGAATTCCCCTTAACCATGAAAATTTCATATTTACGAATTCTTAGGAATTACTATACCTATATACATATACACATTCATATATATATATGTAAGTGTGAAATCGTGAGTAATAGCAAACTTTATATTGAAAAACGTTTCTTTTTACACTCAAGTACTCATCTTCCAGATATGGTAGAGAGTAAATACTGGCATGCTTCGCACAATTATTTTATGGAGTTATGGACTTAAGCCAGGATTAAAGACTTCTTAAGCCAGGATTAAAGACTTAATAACTTAACCCGTGCCGCAAAGACGATTTATTTACCATTTAAATAACATAGGGTTTTCGTACTTTTTGCAATTAATTTTTTTTTTTGCGAAGCCGGTTAATATATTGCTGCGACATCGAATTATTTCTATAGGAAATTGAATGCTCTACAAAAACTTTCCCTAACATATTTCAAAAAAATCAGTTGCGACAAAGTTATTCAAAGTCAAAGTTGAACTACTATATGCATCAAGTGTACTGTATTCATAGAGTACACCATGTCGTATGAGTGACATAGAATTTATATGGCTCAAGTCATTTGATGTATAACTTGAACTGAGTATAACTTTTAAACGAAAGATTTTATGAAAAAAATGATTAAGAGCTTTTTTATAAAGCAATAAAATTGCTATAAGAATATCACTTTTTTTAAGCTGTAAATTTAATTTCTTAATGCAAAATAGCAAAATATCGAATGTTATATACATGAGAAAAGAAAATTAATTTAAGCACCGTCTAAATTAAAAATAACGTTTACGTTGCACCCTTATTTTTGAGGCTAAAACTATAACTTCAGGTGGACATATAACAACTTGTGAAACACCCTAATATATATAGGGAAAGTGGGTAAAGTAAAGAACCTTTGAGATATTTCCTTACAGAACTATTAAAAGTGAGCATGTTTGAGCTTTAAGTATTGTACCGTTTGAAGTTTGTGCGCATTGAAATTTAATTCTGAACACATTCATAACGCTAAGCGATGGTTGTTTACAAATAAACGATCTGTCATGTTTTATGATTTTTTTATACCTTTAAATTCTTTGCCGGCCTTATTATTGCGTGGAACCCGTCTTTAAATTTTCGGCATCCAGTTGTCAGTCTATTGCACTATAAGTGCGACATTTGTGTGCCATAGAATGCAAGGAATGCAAAAGTCATCTATTTAAAATAGAAGAAGAGCATTACTTTTTATCGCTCTTGCATTTACACACTGACTTTTTTGTTCCAATGGCAACAAATATATTTATCATTCCCACTGGCTGCTAATTTTCCACGCAGCTACTAGTTCAGGATTTTCGTAAATTCTATTATACCATCCTACACCCCATCAATTAAATAATCTGGCATATGCAAATCATACATTTTTCTTAGGGTTCGCAGTTCGAAATGCAGAAAAACATTTTATATTTATAGAGGCCACCTTAGCATCTTAAAATTATACAAAATTGTAAGCAACTAAATTTCTGTGACACGTTAAGGTGAATATAGAATACGTGTGTATATCATGAAGTATCTCAAATTACCGTCAATTTACTATTATAAATTAATAAATTTTGAATTTTTATTAGATTGTGTCGAAGAAATACAAAACCTCAAAAAAATATATATATTTTAATAAATGTAATATTTGAATATTTCAGCTGTGTGAAATTGGGAAATATTTCAGCTCACTTACCATATTCCAATGAAAATAAATAACAAATTCTCTTAATAAAAGTAATTCAAATTTTATTACATTTAAATTCAGTTATCTACTATAAAATATATTCAATAATTAGTTTTTCAATATTTTAAACTTTTTTGTTCAAAGTTCTTATAAAACTCACTTTACAAATTTCACTTTGCATATCTACGATTAATATGCTCAGTTGAGGGCTGCACATATGTATGTATGTACATGCATATTTGTATACATTGAAATGTAACTGTGTGTGTGTGTATGTGTGCATGTAGTTATTGTACAGTAGTACATGCATGTTTACATATGTATGTGTGTTTACTGTCACATTTCTGATATATATTTAAATGATTCTTCATGTTTGTATGTCTGTATATTTGTATTTTTGCTTCAGCGTCACACGCTGATCTTAATCTATTAGTTGTGCATTGAGTTTACACCTGTATGAAAATGTATATGTCTGTATATATGTTGGCTTACATACATCTAATGTTATAATACCGTACAATTGAATTACAATTTGCCTTACAAATAAGTATATCTGTAGCTTTTACACGCACACACCAATAGAAACAAATGGTTTATCCATATTTGTGTGTGTGTGTGTGTGTGTGTGTGTGTGCAACTGTAACTAAAGTCTATTGCGAAATACATTCAGTTTGCTATTTTATTATTAAATTAATATAAAGAAATCAAATTACGTACGGAATGATGCAACAAAAAATTACATAAGATTACTTAAGATAAAATACTCATATATTTTTAAAGTTGTTTTAGGCGAAATTTTCAAATTGAGAATCTTTAATATTAGATATACACTAAATTTCATTGTATATTTTGTTTTTATAATTTTCGTTTGTAATAAATTTTTTCACATTCGTAATTTAACATTTTGGACACATCGAAATACATACTAAAAGGACGAATTTTTTGTCTGATTTCATTTCGTTAAAATTTTCGTTATTTTCGTTTATTTTTGTCATAATTTTTTTTTTGCTGTTTTAAATTATTAATTATACTTTTATTTCGTATTTTTATTTATATATTGCATATATATTATTTTTTTTTTTGCAAGCGTTATCTTGCTCATCTATGCACATCTTATTGGAAGCAAACAAGCTTATGGTATGCTAGGGCTACAAGGTAATTTCAGCTGTCACTTAGCGTGCAACGTTACTTTTTCGCCTAAAAGCAAAACAAACCGCATAAACGTTGGAGAAGCATAAAATAAAGTAAAAGGACGGCAAAAATAAATGTTAGAATTAGTTCATTAGAAATTAAGCAAACAAAAATTTTATTTAAATTAATTAAATGAAATCTTTCGCTTAGAAAATAAATTTAAAAAAACGTGGTGGATCTCAGCGTTTCTTATAATTTGATGTGGGATTTCTACATCTAATGTCGTTTGGGTATCGTCATCGTAAATGCATACAAACACAACAAATTATATTATGGACTCTAAATTAGTTACAAATGATAAATGCAAATGGTGGTTAATTAAAAACATAATTCATAATTATCTATTAAATAATATGCTGTAGTAAATGTAAATAATTAAAATATCATAAATTGGTAAAAATATAATGAAGGGATGTATTCATATGTTGGGGCGCAAGGGATACAATAACATGCGACATGCACATCGCAATAAATAACGGCATGTTTTCCGAAAAAATTTCGAAGTAATTACTTTTCAGTACACTTTCAAGTAATTATTGGCTGAAATTAAACTTAAAAAAATATTTAAAAAAATATTAAAAATATTCTCGCTATTTCCGCTTTTATACGAATTGCCATTTATATTTCCTTTCAGCGCAATTTAAAAATTTGTACAAACCGGCGAATATACAATTTGCTGCCGCCTGATTATTTGCGCCCCAGCAATTGCTGTTCCCATCTTTAGCTGCTCTATTGGACACTTATACTTGTATTCATTTCTAACTAGTATATAGTATGCTTTCTACTCGCTTGTGTTGCATAATACTACACAATCTATCTATGCATATCTATATATACACCCACTTCACTTCTCTTGCAAATGCAACTGGTTGCAGAAATAGTAAATATGTTTGCGCATATTTATCATTCTTGATCCCACACTTTCTCCCCTAAACATAAATATATACGCCACTGCATACATATGTACTCAGTTGTTGCACTGTGTGATGCTGCCGGGCTGTTGTTAGATTTAGTGCATGCCTTGCCATTTATTTTATGTCACATTTACTTTTTGCCATTCTTCCCTTTTCGTTTTTGCTTGCTATGTTGTTTCTCTTGTTTCGTGTTCGCACTGTGGCCGCTGCTGCTGGTGCCTGCCGAGCTGGCTTCTGATTTCAACACCACCGCTCTGGGGATGCCACTTTTAATCACATTCGAAATTGTGGTTGTTGTGGTGGTGACAGTGCCGTCGGCATCGGTGGTGGTGGTAGTTATTACACTCTCACCCGTTTGCTGATCGAATATCTGCTTGTGATCGCCGCCGGCATGTAGAAGTTTATTGAAAAGTGCCTCGCCGGACTCTTCATTCTGCTGTTCGTGGTGCGTTTGTTTGGGCTCAGGCTTGCGTATCGTCTCGGTGATAATGGTTTTCTTGACACCATCGTCGCCGATGACAGTCTTGGTTTCTACTGTGTGAACAACATTTTGGTTCGGATTTTTTATGATCACATCGTCGTCGTCTTGTACTGCTTGGCTAATTGCGGTCGCAATTTCATCATCATCGGCTAGCAGGTTTTCTACCGATTTGCGTAGTTGTTTTGTGATCTCCTCGAGCTTGCGTTGTTCGGCTTGCAGTTTCTCGACAGTATGTTCGATGTCCTTGTCTATGTCTTCTTGTGCGGCGCCACCTTGCTTGTCTTCGGTCTGATCTGCATCTTTCATAGAAGTATAGGTTTGTGATTTTTGCAGTTTTAGCGTTGACTCCGCATTGGGATTCTCAATCACCTGACAACCATCGACAAATGTTATATTTACAGCCTCATCATCATCTTCAGCTTCGCCGTCTTCTTCCGAATCACTGGAATCCAAAGACTCCTCTTCTTCATCCTCCTCGTCACCATCTTCTTCGTCATCTTCGTCCTCGCTTTCTTCGTCGTCGTAACCAACTGCTAGTTTTTTAATTGTGTTCCTATTACTGTCTCTTATTAGCTCTTGCAGCAGTCGCTCATTACCGTTATCATCACTAACAGCTTTAGCTGCAGAACGGCTAATGCCACTGAGGTTTGCACCATGTAATGCCGCATAGTCAACAATGTCTTCTTCATCGTCAGGATCCCCATAGGCGAGTTCATGCTGTTCCTCCTCATCCTCCTCTAGACTCTTCTGCAAATTCAATTTAACACGTTCGTTCTCCAATAATTCCACCAACACATTCTTCATTTTCGCATTCAATGAGAGTTCCTCTTGTGGTCGCTGTTGCTGTTGTAGTCCCACTGTCGGCATGACAAACGTGTCGCTACGTAACACACCCGTCGCTGCAGCTGAAAACTTCTCAGCCTCATCGTCATCATCAGGCTCATCTTCTGCTTCTTCGTCAAAGCCACCTTTCCGCCTAGCAATATCTTCGATATGGTCATCATATGGCTTCGGCCGCAATCTCTTCTCTGTTTCATTGTCGAAAATTGGATATTCGTATTGAGCAGTGCTTCCCACTGCCAAACTTTTAACCTGCCCCTCGCCGGTTATCAGTGGATTAACCACCTCCACAATAGTGCTTGCTGCGGTTATACTGTGGGCAGGATATTCGGTTTTCGTTGTTGTACGAACACCAGTTGGCACAACAGGCGCTGTTACAAAGACTTCCTTAGCCAGTGTCTGGTGTATTGTTATCGGCACAGGCTGTATACGCAGCTTTGATATGGATGACACGCTATCAATGGACGAAGGACCAAACATACCAATACTGTCGAAATCATCAGATGGACCGGAATCATCATCGGTGCGTAGGAAGAGTTTTTCATTATTTGCATGCACAGTCACAATGGAGGCGGCATCCTCTTCATCTTCGTCCTCCTCTTCCTCCTCGCTGTCTTCTTCATCGTCGTCGTCATCATCATCATCGTCTTCCTCATCGTCATCCTCGTCGACAGTATCGAGTAGCGCCGTCTCCCTCAACAGCTCCGGCGGTTCCTCATCCTCTAACGTCTCATCCTCGACCGTTGCGATTACCTGTGTTGCTGCTACCAACACTGTGGCTGGATCCTTGTTGGCACTTGCTGCATGTTGCAATGATGCAAATGGATTGCTAATTTTGTCATTTTCGCCATCGTCACTGTTGTTATCATCGTTTTCTGGATCTTGCAACTCTAATGAGATTATCTTCTCCTGGCAAGTTTCCACCTGAATTGCGTGGTAAGTAGATGGAAATATTCGGATTCGCTTTAAGTAATTTTTCATTTCAAATTATTATTATTTTTTTTGGTTTTTGTATACACCCGTTAAAATTTGGAAAGTACGGGCATGCTAAGGTAGTTAGTTCGGTAATTTAATAATGTACAAGTAGTTTTGAGTAAGTTGTAGTGTATTGTAATGGTAATATAAGTGGTGAAAATTGGCTACTCTTATATATACAGTTATATATATACTTTATGTACTGACAAAAAGTCAGCTTTAGATGAAGCATAAAGTTTAAGATCTTCTAACTACAAGCAGGCATATGAAAAGGTTAATATATTAAAACTTAACATATCGGTACATTTAAACACATATATTTTAGTTAGTACATAAATATAAAACTGTATAAATTGCATGCAATTGAAGCAAGTTTTAAAGTACATACATAGTATTAAGACCACATCCACAAATATTATAATAATTAAACAATATATTAATGAATGTAAATATAGGGAAAATGAAAAATATTATATTATGAAAATCGTGAAAATTATAATTTTGGCATGTGCTTTCATAGAATTTCAGTGAATTTCACTAAGAAAAATATTAATATTTAAAACTCATTCTAATTTAGTCAAATTCAATGATATTTAAACTTTTTCATACAACAAAATCTCCACCACACGAAACTATCATCGCTACTATATCTATTGGATACATAAAATCTTGAAGAAAGTAGTTGTCGCTTATTATTACTCTTCAAAAGCGACTTAGTAGTTTACAAAACTGTTTGCAGCGCAACTTGTATCCGAAACTGTAACTTCAGGAGCCCAAGATTTAATACGTTTGAGGTATGGTTAACTGTCTGAGTATCGAAAATAATTCATAACCTCGACTCGACTTACGAATAAAAATAAAATGTTATAAGTTCAACAAATATTCTCTCTCTCTAGTCTATAGTTTTTACTACAAAAACCTACTATTTCTTTCGTTTCTTTCAGACGCTAAAGCTAAAGGCAAAGTGGAGTCATCTTGCCACTTTCTCAATATTGCTCAGCTTTTGCCATACTGAGATTGAAATATCTCGGTAGCTTACTTTTTAGCTCACAGCAGCCCAATTGAGTTCCATCGACAGGGTCAACCCTACGCCATAACCTACCAAATATTTCTGCATAAACATCTCGTCTCCTTAGCATGTGCTTCCGAGATCGGTTTAGTGTTTTACTTCAAATTTATATTAAAAATCGAAATATCTCACAACATAACCTGAAATTGTACTATTTGAAAAATGTTTAAGTAAAAATTGCCATTTACTTAAAAAGAAAAAACGCTTTCAACAAACCATTAAATACATAATAGCTTGGAGATTTTTACTTAAAAATGAAAAATTCATTTCACCAGATCCTAATAATTTAATGATTTCGTTCCCGTCCAGTTAATAAATTCGCTTGAATTTCAGTCTAACTATACATCCACGCTTTGTTAATTAGCTTTAATTTTATTATCAGCATTAACAGTCGACATATCGAGCTTTAAAATTAGTTATACTTTTCTACATACTTAATATTTCTGCGGTGGGACCTAGATCTTAATTAGTTATTTTTCACATTAAATGCGTTGTAAAAGCAAGCAAACTGCGCTGAGCTTATCTAAAATTTTGCAATTCAAAGACAAAAATTCTGAGAACTCCTTTTACACTATACTGTGCATAAAAAATTTCTATCCACACATGACATGACGGGTTGTTGTTTTACGCCCTTGAACAAGTTGGCGAAGATGTGCACTTTGTACACATTATGCTTGAGTGCATTCGGCGAAAATTTCGTAAAATAACGCACTCATGACAGTAAAAAGCAAAGTATGCGCAGCAACTATGGTAAAAATCTAAAATCACCGCCTGCCATAAGCACGACCGCGCACCGGTTCGGTGAGTAAAAAAGCGAATTAAATAAATTTCGCTCACTTGTCTCCGGTCTATTTAATGTGCTTACATGGGAATATATATGTACGCATGGAAAGGTGTATGTTAAGATTTGTGGTATATTTTTGTAAATTTTATTCGAAAGCATAAACGTTCAAGCTGCTGGCAAAGTATTTTCAATGTCGCATGGCTCTCAGGATGTTTGCGGCCTGGAAGCGCTGGTGAGCCATTGAAATTGTCAGATGTATTCAACCATATATGCACGCAGCTGTCGCACAGCGCGGAAGAATGCAGTAAAAATATTAAGGAACGTTTATACTCGAATATATAATATACCTATATACAAGTATGTATGTGTTATGTATGTAAAGGAAACTCGGTCGGATTGCTTGAAATAGCATATAGGGTCTGTAGTGTGACCATATAAAGTTATCATTGTTATTACGCGTAACTCTGATAAATTGTATAATCCCTATACACTCGAGATTGATATTTAGAATTGGCTCCGAATTTTTATGATAAAATTGAACTACATTTTAGAAATGTGTATTGAAATAAAAGTATTACAATAAGGTCTATCAATACGTTATAATAACGTTCAAAATGTGGATGGAACAAGATATTAATACGCAAAACTGCCAAAAATTTAATGAAAGGTTGAAGTTTGGCGCAGTTGCAACGTTACTTAACTTTCTGAAAGCACTGCAAGGTTGGAAATAAACGAAATCTCTGTTTGACAGCTTTTTGTCGATTTTTGACATTTCATTTCAAAATGGAACTGAAGCTCCAACAACAATCACTATTTAGCAGACTCAAAAATACTTGTTTATTTAGTTCAGTCTGCTGGAATTGGAACTTTGAATTCAGTGAAAATATGTTTCACTGAAACACAGCCGCAATGTTTTATGACCTATAAAAACGTCGATTGGACCTTCGCAAATTTAAGTAACTACGTTTATTTTTAGCAACCACAACTATCTCTGGCTCAAGGTTTCTGTGTTTCTTCCCAACTTTTGTCTTGCTATGTTTGTATTTACATACATATATCTGTGAGCTAGAAACTGCTAGCTACGCATTGTGGTATTCTTTGACCGGAAAACGGAAGTGTACGACTTTTCCGTACCGTTATTTCCGTTTGCAACTTTCTGTAAAGCAACTGCGCATCTTCTTCGCCTACACTGTGTTTCAACTATTTTGTTATTTTTTTCATCTTTGTTGATTACATTTCCGCTTTGGTTGAGTCAAAGTATTTTCAAGTTTGTATGGTTATACGGACCTAGGCTGACCCAAAAGAAAAGTCTTTAAGAAACCGACTAGAAAAAATTTTAAGTAGGTAGATATGTATTCAATAAAACTGTTATTGCTACAACTACAACTCCACATTTATGTTTCCAAAAAAAGAGTCAATGTGTTCATGAGACATCAGAGACGAAATAAATGGTCAAAATAGTCCGCCCGGGTCATTCGTCGTGTGTTAGTTAGTCTGCACCTTTCTTTGCAATTTGTGGCGTGTGCATGCTTGCAGTGACATTTTCTTCCATGTTTTTTATATTTTTTATTTCACTTCCGCCATTTCTGTTTACTTTGCATTGCCATTTGCTGGTTTTGTCGCGATTTGGCCAAGTTTATTCAATTTTCATGCAGCTGTGGTATTCCATTAAGATTTAAAATTATGCCAAGGGCAAGCAAAATGTGTCAGCTTTGTGCAGGTGTATGTGTGTATATAATAAGCCAAACCACCAGCAATTAAAGTGACTTTAATGAGCTAACAATGTTATTGTAGTTAAATAGGGTGACCAAATGTCGGAATACTTTACTCGGTAAGTGTAAATACCGGCTCAACTTATTGGATCAACACTAAAAATAACAATATAGAAAGGAAGAAAATCTTCGAAAGTACCGCAGTGATAAAAAATATCAAACACAAACAAAAGTAATATGGAAAAAAGTTATACATATGAAAAAGTAGTAGGTCACGAAACGGTCTACAACTTTTGTATTAACACCATTTGCCAATAATCTTAAAATTTATATGTAACAATGAAATTTTTAAGTTTTTAATTTTTTATTTAAAAAAAATTTGTTTCACTAAATTTAAAGTTTATGTAACTCTTTTATGTCCAAAACACTCTGTATTTTTTATTGATAATATTTATTGTTACCCCTTTTTATTAGTTATTTTTTTGCATTTTCTGACAAAACTCATTTAAAGTGAACTACCCTGGTACTACCATATGGTATATAATATGTTATTTCCGTCAATTTTCCAAAAATTTACTATTTCCAATAAAGTTAAACTTCTAGGTGTGTTAGCGCCAGCTGTTCTGGAAAGACCTGACTGAGAATACTGCTAAGAGATTTGGCATAGTTTTCAAGTGTTATTTATTGTTTAAATAATACAGTTGAGGTAAATTTAAAAATTGATCAGTTATTGATGGGTTGTAAAAAATTGCTGTTGGCTAATTGGGGTTATCATCCTCATAGGAATTCATATACACTTTAAACCCATGTTCATACTTGTATGCATACTGTTAGAATGGCTATCGCCATAAAAGTGTTCAAATTGGTAAAACTTAACCACAAAAACAATCAATAATAATTTTATTCGACTAAGCAAGCTCAAGAGAAATCTCAATTTCTTTTCAATGAAACCTCTGTAAAATTTTCGCTGGTATCGACCATCAGTTAAGTAGAGATTCTACGAAAACTACAAATAAGTAAAACAAACGACAAAAAAAGTTTAATAATTTTTATATTATATAAAGAGTGCAAAATTATAAAATTGCGATGTGAAGAATTTGAGTGCTGGTGCGCAATCTAATAGATGTATGTGTGTAGTACAAAAATTATATATAATGAAAAGGTTTCAAAAAATGCTCTAATATTTTACCATAAATTATTATTAGTTGATTATTGCATAAAACGAAGATTTTTGACTGACCCTTTATTTTTGAAAACGAAAAAGTTCGGACAACGAGTTCAGTTCACGATCATTTTCAATTACTAAAGTATAATTTTTAGTATTTTATATAATTAAAGGATAATATAATATTTTTTTTTAAATATCACGTCATGCTGAGGCACGAGTAGCAAAAATGTTTACACAAGAATACAGTTAGTGCAAAATGTGAACAAATACAACTAAATATGTAAATATACTGTATTAAGACTACAACAACAAAATATTTTGTGAAATATACAACAAATGCTCCTTCCCTCTAAGAATATGTAGAGTTTTAAATGCAAATGACAATTGTTTGTTTGCGCTATAACAAAAAACACGCGAATACTTGTATACAAATGTCAATTAACGAAGTAGTGTCAAAATTAAAAAAAAATATATATATATATATATATGTATAACTAACGTGTGTATATTGTAAGAAGGAAACGTGATGCGTGTTTTCTTGACTAAATACTTTCAATTAACTAAAATCGCCACCAATTTTAAATGTTTTTATACAATTTCAAAATAAACTGCATATTTGCTCGGCTAACCTCAGTTTCGATGGTTTTCTCAATGTACTCAACAGTTCGTAATTGAGGTCGCCCCGTAACGGGACACGGCACCTCTTCGGTACGGCGCACAATTTTTTCATCGAGTATTTTTTCACGTTCACGTATTATAACCGGACCATCGCTCGATTTAATTGCGATTTTTGGAAAAACAATCTTTTTAGTCTGCTACAAATAAATATGAGAAAAATAATGATAATGCAAATTGATTAGCAAATGTATTTCACCGTATGAATGCCAAAAGTATGGGTGTAAATTGACGAATAAATGAAGTATTTAAATAGATTATAATAAGTTTTTTATGGAATATTCTTCTTCATCAGAAACTTAGTACTAGCTGATTTTGTTTCGCCACTTTTCTTTTACTACATAATTATCTAAACATATATCGATTCGCCAGTCTCCAAAGTTTAGCGATACGAAGAGAGCTACTAATACATAAGAACTGGATAGTATGCGAAAATTTAGCTTGAAAACAATCTCACATATATAATAACGCTATTAGTCTCTGCATATTTGATAGCCTGATGCTGATTTAACCTCAAATATTGAAAGCATGTTCCGTAAAGCTTTTACTTCAATAGTAAAATTAAACTATATAAGCGATTGCTTTAATGCTTCGAGCCTAAAAGAATATTCGTACTACTACATGGAATCTACTAGTCCTTTTAACAATAGACCTATTTTAAAAGTCCCGACAATGCCCTCGTTGATTATAAAAATATTTCCGAACGATTGAACTTTTTTGTTCGAGTTTATGTTACTATATGCATAAATGTATTCGAAATTAGTCTTCAATTTGAAAGTTAGTTATTAAACAATTAAATTATATATGTACTATAAGTATATGCAGTTATATTAGGCAGTAGTAATGCAAAAAAACACAAGCACCGTAATTTTATTCACTTGGCGTATATGTAAGTATGTATTTTATATATTTGGGTTACGACATTTGGTAACAAACCGTTATGTAATTAGTTCAAGCAAAACTGTTACGAGATGTATTAGCTATTCATTAGGCTGCGGGTGGGGGACTTTTAAGGAGCTTTTATATAATTCGATAGTGATGACCATGTAATGAATATAGTTTGTAATGATTACAATTTATGATATCGAAATTGTGCATACAAACCTCGGTGGCAATAGGTGTCGTCAGCAGATCATCAGCGATTTTGTTCATATTCTTGATAACGCACTGCGCCTCCTGGGCGCCTTGTTCCAATGAGCGCAAGCGAGCAGCACGCCAAGACGCGCGTTTCTCAGCACTGCAGATGGAAAAAAGTAAAATTTAATCAATAACTTTTTTTCACATTAGTCTGAAAATAAAACGGTTTGAGAAATACTTGTCGAGGAAATAAAAAGGTAAGCCGAGGGATAAACCAAACTTTGCTACACCAAAGGAAAACGAAAGATACCTAAATACAGAGGAGTTACGTAAAAATACAAGTATATACCTAAAATTTGAAAAATATAAGTATGCAATTTTATATAATAAAAGAAAATCGAACTTATAAATACAAACACCGCAACTAATATTTAATTAAAAGTGGATAAAAGATGTAAAATTACTAAAATAATAATTGCGATCATGGTATTTTTAACAAAAGGGAAGGGAGCGTTTTACAACAGAGCTTGATTGGTGTTTGTTTGTGAGTCGCGTGCGTTATATAAAAATGCTAAAACATATAAATTTATGTATGTCAATTTATTTACCTGCGCTGAAGTTGTACAATATGTGAAATGTGTGGTTCTTATGATATGAAATCGGCTTATTCTCTAAGTGCTGACTTGTTAAAATATTTACAATAAAGTATTGTGCGAGAAATGATTCTGCTTTCATCCTAACTGTTTCATCATATCCTTAATTTAGTCAATTAAGAAACTATCTATATATTATATACACGATTAAAGAGAAAAATACTATATTAAGGGTTTAAAACGCTTATTTTTTCTGCTCGAAATCAAATTGATCACATAACAAAAAACAGCAAGAAAAATCGTTAACTTCGATTGCAACGAAGCTAAATATCCTTCACAATTGAAAAAGTTTCGATACAGTTTGTAGAGCAAATAATTATTTAGTGGTCCGAACTGAAAGTTTTTTCAAAGATTGTACCATTGGCTTATGCAATACTTCATGCCGAATTTCGTGAAGATGTCTTGTCAAATAATAATAAAAAAAAAGGTTTTGATCGTTTAGATTGTATGATAGCTATATGCTATAGTGGTCCAATATCGACGGTTCCGACAACTGTGCAGCTTCTTGAGGAGAAAAGGATGTGTGCAAAATTTCAGGTCGATATCTCAGAAGCTGAGGTACTATACACACGCACAAGTTTAAATCGACTCAGCTCATCACGCTGATCATTTATATGTATATACATTTTAAAGGATTTCCGACTGGGTGTTACAAACTAAGTAGCTAACTGCCTACTCAGGCAAAAAAAAAATAAATAAAGAGCGCTGCTGATTAACTAAAATAAAAACTCATGAAAGAATGGATCAAGAATAATTTTTTATGCAAAGTTACCAATTTCGAAAACTAAAAAACTCAATTATAATCAGAAAAAAATTTTACACATTCTATATTTTTAAATATTATATATACTTATATAGTACGATTACGAGTATTTCAGCACATAATCTAACAAAGGTTTTTGAAAGTCACTGCTAAATTTATTGACAATAAAAAGTAATTTTACAAAAAGTTGAAGTTTTCTAGTCGACATTTGTACTTGATAACGGTAGTTAAAAGTAATAGTCTTTATCTGTAGGATTTTAAATAATTACCGTTTAGGTTATATGAGCAAAAAAAAATTAAAAAATCACTGGAAAGTAACAGATAGATGCCCAATCCCGCAATTGCGTCCTTACCTCAAACAATTTACGTGGTCAAACACTAAAATATGATGTTATTTCATAAAAACATTATGTTCACGTACATATACTAGCAATCTTCACCAAAATACCTTCCCTTGCATACGATTTGTACCCACAAATCGGATTTCGACTTACTTAATCATTGCTTTGCTCTTCGACCCATTAGACGGTGACTGCTCGTGTTGAACCGCATCAGATGACCGCTCAACCACATCGGAAGTAGCAGCTTCATCGTGAGTCCTTGTCACTGCACCGCCAACAGCAGCTGCTGCTGCCGCCTTCAGCGCGCGCCTCTCCGCATTCGCCGTGCGTATGGGAATGCGACTGGTTGGTGTGGTCGGTGATGTTTCGTGTTGTTGTTCATCCTGTTGTTGTTGTTGTTGCGTTTGCTGCAGTAACAATGCAGGTGGAATGACAACTTTCACTTTGGGTTTCGGCAACAGTGACGGCTTCTGTTGGTTGCGTAAGCGCAGCGTCGAGGTCGATAAAACGGCTAATGGCGCCGTAGCAATAACACTCTCAATGCTACTCGCCGTATCTTCGGCGTCATTGTAATCGCTTGAGACATCAGCGTACTGTCGTTCGGTATCCACAAACTGCGCTACAGTGCTACTTAGTTGTTGAGCTGCGGTACGTGGTGCGGGGGCGGGTGCTATTGTTGCTACAGACGGTGCAAGTGCAGTATCTACTTGAGACAACTTAAACGACGGCGCTATTCTTACTGGTGTGACTGTTGTAGCTGCACTAGTAGTTGGTGACTCAGTCAAGGACTTAACTAGTGCCGGCGATTTGAATGCGGCCAAGTGCGCCGACGGTGTGGCCACCCACTCAGGTGCTGTCACCTGTGCGGGCGGCTGTATGTTGGCTTGAATCGGTTGTGTCGGCGGTGGTGGTGCTTTTCGGTGGGCGACTAGCCCAACCGTTACGTCATCGTCCGTGGGCGTTGTGCTCACACTCGGTGTCTTTGCGCTACCTTTCGATTTCGATTTCGCATTTGTCTTTTTAGATTTCTTCGGTTTTTCGAACTTGAGTCGTGGAGTTTGCGGTTTGGTCGCTTCGCCACTGTTCGCTAATGGCTGTGGGTGTGGTTGTGACTGTGTTGGTGTTGCCGTCGATTCGTTCCTTGTTGTCGTTGTTGTTGTTATTGTTGTGCATTCAGCAATACTTTTTAATTTGGAATTTTATTGAATTCGTGTGAAAATGTTTGCAAGAATTAGAACAAAATTGACGAAAATATACGAATGGTTACATACATACATACATAGATATTGCATTTGTTGCTTGCGTTTGTGGTGCACATTAATTTGGCATGGATGAATGCAAGTAATTGATGGGAACACTGAGTTATTTTTTGATTGCATTTCTTAGAATAAATTATTACCATTCACTGTTAATGCTAGTTGTTTTTGTTTTTGTTTTTATTTCATCTAAGTGCATGAAATCATGATGTTAGTCACAATCAATGATGGTTGATGAGTTATTGGCTTTAGTGAGTGTATTTACTTGGAAATTTGTATGCGTTAAGGACTTAGGGTCGCATTCCTTGGATTTGCTTATTCACTAAAACATGTTAGATATACTCGTACGATTCCAAAAAAAAAAGAAAAAAAATAAAATCTCTATTTTTCTTAAGTCACACGTAATTTCATCGGTTCCCTTCACTTCCAGAGCAATATGACACCGTATTTATTACATGCATATGCTGCTGCTCAACTCATGTTACGAACCCTTTGAGACAAGTTTTCTAATTTCGTCGTTGACACGCCAAACATTCTCTACACCCGCTCGTTCATTCAATTATATTGCACAGCACTTCCTTTTGTTACCATAGGACCCTGTGACACCCACACTTGGCGCTCGCTACATATCTTATAAATATATCGCTAATATATTTCATACTCGCACTCCGACATTTCTACTGTGTACACTAAAGTGTGAAATTTTATTGAAAAATGGCGCGTACTGTTTTTCATTGCAGCTCTGTTATGTACCGTTTTTCTGCAACATAAGCGCGTATCGCCTCAATGTAAAATTAATTTTTAATGCTCTGCATAAACTTTTGACTAACTTTTGCCACTGCACGCTTTCTCCCTCTCGCTCTCTCTCTCGCGGGTATACAGCACTGCGTTGTTGTGTTTCTAAGTTTATTAAGAATAGTAGCATGATATGGGAGCGATGAAGAAAAAATTCTTGTAATTGCTGTCATGTCATGTGTCATAGAAAATTTGTAAGTTTAAATTGAACGCGTGGAATGCAGAAAATATATATTTCAATAAAGGGCAACATCAAAGCAGTGTAGACTAGCACAACTAACTCAATTGCAAATACTAACTAGTGTCTAACAAAATGTTTAAAAAAGAATTTTTTTTTAATTTCAGCGTTGCTACATATTACGCTCCATAACTTCCTATTGTACAGTAATGGAAGATAGCAATTGTTTAATCGGCAATATTTCGCGCATTCTCGCTTTCAAGTGCATATTGCTTTTTGGTACATACTACATATTTTGCAGTGAAATGTTGTTATAAACAATTTTGAGAACTATTCCTATTCCTGTATATCGAAAAGAGATTGGATAAGAGCTGCTTCTCAACAAAATAAAGCCAAATATCATCCTCTAGCTATCTTTGTTGCTATATTTTGGCTAGTCGTAACTTTTTTCTGTATTCGAAATGTTAAAATGTCGCTTCGACAAACTCGTATAAGTGGAATTGTGGTGTTAAAAGGTTATTAGTTGCACGAACAAAGATCGTGTTAGCGGCTAACAGTTAGCGAAGCTCTTGTGGGCAAAATGGAATATTTGTGATTTTGTTTACTAAAAAAACATTTTATTTTAGAGGTGGTAAAAAACTGTGTTTTCAACCACAATATTTTTTCGCCGAATTTTATTTCAGTTCTGAAAAATTACACTTCGCGAATCATCAGTCAAAACTTAAATCTTTTTTGAGAGCAAAGACTTAATTTTAAATTTTATAGTCTATTGTGTACGTTAATTTCGAACTTTGCTTAATAATTTCAAAAGATCGACTTTTTCAAGTATCTCAGCAAAACTTTTAGAGTAAAACCTAACCTAATATACGCTTTCATTAGTTTTTCTTTCAATATTCCAGAGCTCCATACACATAAGAATGAAGAAAAATTTCGCAAAAATTCAATTTATAGGTAAATAAAGCGTAAATAATGGAGGCATACCCTTCACCAAATGCATATTTTTTTTTTGTTTTTTGTAAATTATTAAAAATCCTTCACCAATGAAAAGCGAAATGCTCGCAAAAGGAACAGAAGCGCATGAAATAGTTTGTAGTCATTTATTTATTATTTTTCCAACAAATTAGTTATGCTTTATAATAATAATAATCTTAATGTGTAGGACAATGCATATTTTAGGTGTATTAAAATAAATTAACTTAGAGCTAAACAATTATGATGTATGGACTGTTGTGATAACATTTTTTGCGTTTTGGAAAATTAACTGTGCAAAAGTGCATTTAAACTTAGCAAACAATTGTTGGCTTTGCAAAGGGCGCAAGTGAAGGCAAGGCGAAATGCAAAAGCGCTATTCAAATTTGACTATCAATCAATTAGCTAATCAATCAAATGAGCGATCAATCAACAATAAGCAACTCAGCCACAAGTACATATACATATACATATATATAAATACATATACATATTTATACATATACATATACATTTATACATATATACATGTGTAACTATGACCAATTGCATGTCTATATTTTCCGCTGGCATTTGAATTCCGATCTCCTTCCTCGCTTAAATTTCAACTTGTGTCATGTGCTTAAAATCTAAATTAACATATACATATTACGAGTATATACCATAAATAATAAATCGATGCGTACAAATATATAATATAAGTTCGTGTGTCAGTACAATACAATATTATTACTAGTGTTATTAATATTAATATTTTTTGTAATTATTATAAAGTGTGCTAACAGTAAATTTAACATTCCTTAACCATTCCACTTGCGTACACATAAATACAATACATGTGTATATGTATGTGTGTGTGTGCTATGATTATTAGCTGCGTTTTAGAATACTCTCAACGTTTTCTAAGTATTTAGTTAGTTATTATAATATCTTCACAAGTGTATATAAAAATAGATAAAGATCTAAAAAGATAAAATTTCGAATTAATAATATTCGAATATTGTTTAATAATTTATAAATAAATTTGGATTTTGTTGTTTCGTATAAAAAAGTTTTACATCTTCATTTTCCACTTCCACTTCGTCTTAGTCGTATTAGATTAGTGACACTACAGTTATTTGCGATACAAATCATTGTAGTTGTGTGTGTGTGTGTTAGTTATAAAACATATGTAGTAATAATGTAATCATAATAGTATATAGGATTAGCTTTTAAATACTGCTTCAATTTCTTCAAGTGGATTCCTGGAAAATGGGAAGGAAATAAAGTGGTAAGAGTTAAAATGCAGTGGGAATAAGGTGTGCAAATAAGTGTGTAAAACAGAAAGAGATTATCAAAGTAAAGAGTAAGAAAGTGTAAACAAGTGTGGAGATATAATAAAAAGAACAAAAACAAAAAATAAACACAAAATGCCAAGAAATTTATTTTCTTTCAAATTTTTCAATTCAACTCGAATTTAATTGTGCCGTTGGGAAACGAAGCGTGGATTCAACAGAGTGCAGAATCGGTGTAAAGTATTGCAAACATTTGGTTTCAGTGTGCTTATACTCAAATGAAGATTAATACATTTCCGTGAAGTAAATAGCTGAAGTTGCGCTGGCGTTTATATTATATGAAATTGTAATTTTTCAAAATATTCAAGCAAGTGCAGAATAACTGTGCAGTTAACTTAAATAAGGCTACGAACAGTAAATAAAGAACAGTTACATTTTTCGTTGCACACTGCTAAAGTCATACCCATATGATTATTGCGATTAATCGCTGAAAAGCTGAAAATAATAGCAATGATAATTGTCGCTCTCAACTTTCAGAGAAATACAATAACTGCCGCTAAACGCCCAGAAAAATGAACATGGCCCAATTTCAATGGCTCAGTTTAAAAATTAAAGATATATGTATGTATATATTAATGAAATATTCATAGCTACTTTGACAGATCATTGAAGCGGCATAGATTTTATATTGATAGTGAACGGTGCAAAATCTATTGTTTTCAATATTTTTCGTGTGAGCTTGATAACACTATAAATAAAATTTCAAAAAATTACTCATACGCCATGCCGCACGGTATGCTTTTCTCAAGTAAGAACTTTTGTGTCAATATTCTTACAAGAAATTTAAATAAAAGTCAGCTAAAATTCGGTGTTCTGCATTTATCTCATTTTGCCACATAGTTTCAGCAGACTAGACATAAATGCATATTCAATAAGGCAAACAAAAAAATTGAGAAAAAAATGTATTTTAGTAGAACGGGATAGTAATGGATTTGTAGGATAGCTGTTTATGGTTTTGAATACAAATTTAGTTTTTTTAAATATTGTATATGTACATAAAACTATGCAATACAAGTATATACGACATTTTCCGAAATACCATAATGTTTAAGTCTCAATAGTAAACCAACTTAGTATGACAGTATTTAAATTAATACTCGTACATTTGCGAACAATGCGGTCCATTCCAGCAGTAATTTTTCATGAACAAGAACAACAGAAGTTCATGTTCTTGAACTAACAATTTATTGTTGAAATAATTTAAACGTGCGTATATTTGTATATACGAGATGTTTTCGCAAGTATTTTGTACCACATCTCGCCTGAGAGCGATGCACCGTAATATAAATGCGCAGAAGCGATGGATAAGACAGCGTAATGAAATTCTTGTTTATACCGAATGTTGAGGGTGCGGTGGTTGTAAACGGTACGTGCGCGCTCTGAGTGCGTTTGGCCAACGGCAAAATATTAAATTACTTTGTCTCTTACGGCATGAAGTTACCTTTGTAAACAACAGGACTAAACCATGGTGTTAGCAACGGTGAAAACAAGAGTTATAGAGCGCCTGCATAACAAGCGCAACACAATAGAAATCGCCAGGAAAAAACTGACTTGTTTACAGTGGTAATAGCCAGTTTCGTTTTTGTATTTTTTTTTATGTGCAAATATTAGTAAACAAATCAACGGATAACCATGAAAATGTGTAGTACAATTTAATGCAAGAGTGTAGTGGTCCAGCTGCAGCCAAATATGGAAAATTGTCGAAATTTATCAAACTGACTTACATCTGCATACATAATTTTCATATTTATCGATAAATTTTCGAATCGTTTTCGAGCTTAATACCCCTAACGCTAGTCTAGTAGCCAACTATGAATGGCTATCGGGTGCCAATCGCACGCAACTGGCTCGCTAGTAGCCATTTTTGCTTATTATCTATTACTACCATATCACATTAAGGTATACAGTAATGTCAAAATCAGGCAACTGACCTTGAGTACTACTTGCGATTTTCAATAAACTGAATTAACTTTAAGAAAATAAATATGTATACATTACTTTTTATTCATTTTACGATTGTAATTTACCAAAATTTATGTTCAAAAAAATCACTTTATGCATTTTTCATATCACATTTACATCTAACTGTTTTTGTTGTGCAATATTACATTTCACATTGACATTCCATTAACTGAGGCATTTAACATACAGAAGTCTAGTAATTTCAAAGCAAAGTTATAAATAAATTCAAATATGTTGGACAAAGCGATTTTACGTTTTAATAAACCCACTCTCTTTGTGTTCACTTTTACGAATTCCAATAAAACATTGAGCAATGCTGTCGAATACTTTACACAGTGCTTTTCAAAAATATTAAATCAGCGCTGTTAACTGTGTTTTCAAGTACACAAGCTGCAATAGCCATATGCAAAGCGCACTTTCTGCTTAAAATTATCTTAAATCGAAAACTCAAAAATATTCATTATTACTATAGATGAATACGGGTAAAGAACGAATTACTAGTCAAAATTTTGATTTTTGACAAAATGGACGCTTTTCTAAAAATAAAGTAATTTTTTGTGAAAAAATTTACACTTGCTAGTGGCTTAAAAAATCGAAATCAAAAATCGTGGCTTAAAAATTAAACATAAAGAAAATTTCAAGCTGATCGATCTAGCCATTTTAGAGAGTTCTCTTCGCCGACCTTGAAAACAACATTGCGAAAAAACGCGTTTAAAGTTTTGGTAGCCGATCAAACTATGTTAAAAAATTCGTACAAATACACTCGATATATCAGCAAAAGAAAAAATCGTTTTTTTTTTAATTAACGTGCGGATACAACCCCTGAAAGCAAATGCCGCTATCATTTGGTATTATAGTAACCAGTTTCTAGAAAAATCGGATCATCATACGTAACCAAAAAAAACCTAGATTTATATTCGTTCGAGCTGTGTCTACCTATTTTGTGCCTTTATCTGTTTTGGAAGAGGTTCAAAAAAAAATTTGTCGCACCTTTGATAGCATACATCAATATGTCATAGAACTTAATATGAACTACTGATAAATTTGTGAAAAAGTCACTTCGTACTTGTTTTAATATATGTAAATACTTATGTAAGATTATTGTCTAATTTCTATAAGTTCAGACTTTGCATTATAATATTATATATGTATATATGTATGCATATGTGGTTTAATATAAAAATCGTTAAACAACACGAAGCCTTACATTTCTAGAATTATATAAAGTTCCTCCATATTGCTATACATTTTAATTATAAAAACATATGTATATATGTAGATGTGATGATGTGTGTAGTAGAAGTAGGTAGCATTAGCATTAGAAATGAGGGTAAAAGAGAACAAACCACAGAAAATTAATTCGAAGCAAAATTTATGTGGAAAATATGAACATGGTGATAGAGATAAGAACATATGCAGAAATATTTCTATGGCACAACCAAAACCCAATCAAAAAGCACAATAAAATTCGAGTTGATAGCAAATAATAATTAACCTTACATACCGAAAAGGCATATTATTATCAGTAAATACTAGTACATAAAATAAATGACGTCACATAATTGCAACATGTTGTTTGTGTGAAATGCATTTCAATTGCAACATTATTGAATTAGATATAATTAGATTGCATTTAATGTAATTATGTGCATTTTATTTATGATACAAGTATATATATGTGTATGTAATTGTGTTTGTGTATATTCGAAGAAGCATTAAAGCTAAACACTTTCACCAAAAGCATTAATAACAATTGAATAAAACAAAAGATGTACCATAAGTAACGCAACTATAAATATGCAAATGATCAGATAACTCATGCCGCACACACGCACACACGCACACATACAACTTAGGTTCTTCATTGTAGGTATGTGCCTGTGTGTGCCGATGGCTCGACATGAGTTGGGATCATCTCTCTAGGCGCTATTAATCTGATTTGTATTGCATGTGGCATACACTCACCTCATGTCATCCGCCTCACAATTATCCCGCTCAATAATGGTATCGCGCAGTACGTGACGATGGTCAACTACAAGCCGTCTATCGTCGTCATAATCATAATTCTCTTCATAAGTTCGCCCATCATTCGGTTGTTGTAGTTTTCGCTGTTCGCCGGCAAGGCACGGTATGGTGACGGCGTGTGCAGCGCTGTTGGCTGCGGCAGAATTGTTGTTGGAAGCATCGTACTCATCATTGCCATTTGCAGAGGGTCCATCCAATAAGCCCGATTTCTTATCACGACGCAGTGTTGCGATTTTCCTCTCTTCTTCTTGCTTCAACTTCTCAACTTCATCCTTTGACAGGAATGAAAAAACTTTTTCTATTTATTTGCGCAGACATGAAAAGAAAAACGAAAAGAAAACTTAAATAAATGAACAATACTCGGAAACTTAAGCGTATAGAAAAGCCATGAAAATAGAACAAGGCAAAATAAAAAAGAAAATAAAACAACTGTAGAAAATTCCAATAAAATGCCCCGGCAAAAGGCGAAAGTCAAGATGGTTGGCTTCAGTCGCATCAAGATTAATGCCTTTTTATCAAATTTACTATGAGTGGCCCTTTCGTTTCAAGATTATTGCCCTAGTTTTCTCAGAAATCGAAAAATTAAGCGTGAAAAGAGAAATAAGGAGTTACTGTTTTCAATCAAATAATTTTAAAATCCATGGCTTTATAGCGTTGATGCATAGTGAGTGCCAAGCGCATTTTCTTTGTTGCACATTTTCGAAATATATATTATATAAAGGTTATGTTATGTTGAAGCTTTTGCAGTTCTCTGTAAATGCATCACTTTGGAGCTGGATGTGCCAGATGGACTGGGAATTTTGAAACGTTTTTATGAGAGACAGTAACTAGAAGTAAAGCCATATATTTGTTAGTTAGACGGAGTCGTCAACAAACAACTCTACATATATTCCGATTGATTAGTGAAATGACAACATTTTGAGTGAAAATAGCGAAAAACAAGAAAAATCGGTCAGTTTGTATGACAGTTATATGCTATACTGGTCCCAACTGAACAATTTGTTTGACGATAGTACAATAGAACTGCCTTGGAACATAATCTATGCTAGATTTCGTGAAGATATCTTGTCAAATAAAAAAGCTTTTCACACAAGAACTTCTTTATGATGGATCAGTTTGTATGGCAGGTATGTATATCCTATATTGGTTTGATATCGGCGGTTCCATCAAATGAGCACATTCTTGTGGAGAAAATACCAATTGCATGTGCAAAGTTTCAGAACTATGTACACTTCTAAAGCTGAGGTACTAATTCGCATAGACGTTCTTGGCTGTCATTTGTATATACGAGTATACTCTATAGCGTATCCGATGTTTTCTACTTGGAGTTACAAACTTCGTTGCAAACTTAATATACCCTGTCTCTGATATATGAATGATCTTGATCGAATTAGCAGACACTCTGAAGACGTCAAATGAATGTGTTGGAAATTCGGGCATACGAATACAGTGGTTGCCACACGGGCTCACAATCTCGACAATGCACCGTGTCTCAAATCAATGAAAAGGACAAAATAACTTCGAAATGCTGTTTTCACACCTCAAAAAATCCACCCATCATCTTCGAGTTGGATTCGTATGCTATACTGGATGTTTTAGCTCGCATTTGCTTAGATGTAGAAGACGTTATAAAAAGTATATATACCAAATGCGTATATTCCCCATTTCTTTAAACTTTTCCAATGCGATATCGATTATGTGGCTTATATGGTTATAGTAACCAACCAGTAGGTCAACCAACTTTCGCATATTTTTATATATATTTATATTTAAACCAGTATAACTTTGGTACCACTTGGAATAAAACAAATACTATTACAGTAACTTTACTAATAATTTTCATGATGGGTATAACCAACTTGGCTAAGCACGTAATAGCTTCAGCAGCACCCAATTCGTGCACTCACTCACTCATCGGGCTTGTTAAGACGTTCGCTCACTTACTGTCCGCCACACTTGGCAAACTTTATGCCGCACTGTTGAGCAAATAGTTGTTATGTGCAGTGCAATAAGCAGCAACAAATCAACGCACTTCCATAATACAAGTACAAACATTAAATAACAACAAACGTTTACTACTGATAGACCAACATTGGCTACAAGTAACGGCCATGGCTACAGGGACACGCCAAACACAATATCACTTCTCAACCAAACAACATCTCCGCTCAGCCACACCACCTTCTTGGTTCACCATAATCTAATCCTGCACATTATAGCGTCTGCATGCATAAATAACTGTATACCATATGTACACATGTAATTGGGTACCTACAAACATAAGTATATCGCTTGGTTATCAATACCCACGGCAATGCCCTTAACCCGCACTGTACTCGCAGCTGTATGGTTAGTCATAAATCAAGATAGCAGGGAAATTATTTTGTTATCCAGAGTCACAGCATAGTGCTGCTGTTGCATACAATAAAGATTGGATATCTTCACTTTGAACTTATTTGGCTCTTTTGACTTCTTGGTGTGCGCGATTTATTTTCCTTGGATCGTTTGTTTTAGCGCAATAAAGTATTGTGTTGAAAACATTGTGAAATAGTAAAAAATGAATGAAAACTTGCGAAATCAGAACAGCGCACAACTTTCTTTTATCTACATTGGAATTTGTTGGACCGAAAAATATTTCTGAGTTACTCAAGCGCGAACTTTTTTTTTTATATATTTGATGTGCTTCCTGATGATATCCGATTAAAGAAGCTACTACTAGTTGTTGATGCATTCAAATGGCTGATGACGTTGTATTTCCTAAGATTTTAAATATAGGTAAAATAATACCGCGTATAATTCTCATCGATTTAAAACACCAAAAATATATATATATATACATATAAATGAAAAAACGCAGACGTAACGCAGGATCTCTAGAAGCACGAGAAAGAGGCACAATTGAAAGCCGAAATTTTACATAATCGATAAAAAATTTTACGAAACCTTATTTCAGTGAGAAATTTAGTTTTTGAAGCATCGTTTTCAATATTCTTGCATAGAATTTAGGGGCACATCTAGTGTGAAATTTCGTAAAAATCTATCTTTTAATTCTTGCATTTATCGATAGTTTATACCATCAAAAATAACATATACAACAAATATTTTTTGAGTTACAGCCGTAACTGTGTCAAAATCAATAATTCATCTTTAAATGCATTTTTCTGAAAGCAGCATTTTTCGAATTTTCTGCCGCGATTACATTCACACACATTCAGTAAATACAACGCATGCAATGACCTACCAGTTTTTTGATGTGATAAAAAATCGAATTTCGGCAGGTCAAAAACGATCAAAATTTTGGATAAAATTTTTGTCAATATTACAATTCTTGAATTTTTTTTTTTGAACGTAGGTCACTGTACAAACAATATCTCCTAGTCAAGATTTTTTTATCATTTGGGATCACCGAAACAGTGCAGAACCTTTTTACCGCCGTCGGATATCGTCTGTAACGCGATAAATATTAAATCCTTGCCTTTAAAAATTGTATTGTGTACTCCTAAAATATGTATAAATATTGGGGTGCTTTTTTTTATTTTTTTTTCGGCCCCATTTTGAAATTTTACAACTCAGCCGCAATGGGCACTTTTGTAAAGCGTTCAAATTCTGAAAAAAAAACCGACTTTGGTCAAAGTGATGCCATACAATGCCGCTAAGCTATAGAGATTTAAAAATAAAAAAATAAAAAGTTTTCGTGTATTTTAAATGGGAAATCTACACGCCTTGGTCCAGTACTTAAAATTAATATTAAGGGCTAAAACTTTCAGGGATTTGTTTTTTCTTTGGGTATTTCCAACAAAATTTCACGATGGGACCGAAAGAAAAAATAGTTCCAAAAAAAAGCACCCTATTAAATATAATATAATTGATACAGTAGGTTTTCTTTTATTTTTAATTCCCAAAATCGCCACACTACGCACATATGCCTCTTAATACCTGAATTGAATTAATAAAAATTTACTCATACGCCATGTCGCACAATATAAATTTTTGAGGGCGAGCTTTGATACTAAAAATTCCTTATTAAATCATTTAACAATTTATGCAAAAACAACTTGAAATTTCATCCTTTCCTAAAATAATTGCGAATGAGAAACCTTATTAAAATATTTTGTAAATAATTAAGTTCCTTTTTTATTATATAATTATATGTTTTATCACATCTCACCTGTCTTCTGCGATGGTTTGTGTTGATCTTCCATGGCTGACTCAAAGAAACGTTTCTTATCAGAAACTGATTTAGGCACTTTTGTTGTTGTAATGGAATCGGATGTAGGTGACTGCTAGAGCAAATCAAAATATAAAAAATTGTTAATTAATATACTATTATATATATTATTAGAATATATTTTAAAAAAAATTACAATAAAAAAGGGTAGAAAAGTACTTAAAGTAGTTTAGGTTTAAAAAAATATCATAGTTACAATTTTACAAATATCTCGAATATCTTATGAAATACTATCATAAATCAACTAAATCTCCAAACCGCAAATACTTTTTAAAAATTCTCAGATTGTAGAAATTTTGTTGCTTTGAAAAAAAAACTAGTAAAGAACATTTTAGAATTTTTTCGAATTTTCGTGAAGATAAAAAAATATTATCTTTTTGACTTATGACAGTATTTTGTTAAATAAGCAATATGTATATATAATGTGTATTTTCAAGTATCAATAATTCGGTATTTATCGAAGATTTACAAAGAGGAGAGTGCAATAGTACAGTATTTGTGTGTAAGGCAAAGTAATTTACAAATTCCTTTTCAAATAGTACATAGCTAATAGAACGATCCACTGACTGACCTCCAAGCGATTCGAATATCAAAGGTATTACCAACAAGAAGACCATGCTCAACAGTGAAACCTTATTCTTTTACGAATTACTCTTCAAATTTTTGCATTTTCGACAAATTGCTATACAACACACACTCAAACACTCTTTCACACATACACACATATCTACATGCAACCTCTAAATGCCCGAGTGAGTATGCTTTATCAGCTAAGCCATCTGCTGTCTGTTTAATGGATCGAATGCATTTTTTCATGCGGTGTACTCGAAGAAGCGATGAAGCGACGGTGAGTAGCTCGGCATTCGCTTTTTTATTTTTTATGTACAGGTAATGAATTTACTGCAAACAGAATTATAAAAACAAAAAATAACTGAAAAAGTAGTACACTAGAAAAAACGCTTTCTTCCCTTTCTAGAGCTGTGCGCTCTGTTTTGTATTGTAGTTCATCAGAAATGTGTACGGATATGGTTGATGCTGCTGGTGTTGGCGCTGATGATGCGCTCGGATATACCATACATAAAGTCGTGTATTGTGTAGCAGCAGCAGCAGCATGACATCATTAATTCTAAATCTAGTAGAATAACGGTGTAGTGCTACAACTGCAACGGAACACTACACATTCTGCCCCGAAGTAAAAGTGGTGGGGAGAAGGTAAAGAAACGGAGGTATGACGGTGCTGAGCATTTTTATAGCGACGGTTGGCACCTTCATGACTATCTTATATATATATATATATATATATGTGTGTGTGTGTGTGTGTGTGCTGAGGGCATTGTGTAATTAATATTATGTCAAATTCTTCATTACCAATTTAAGTAGAGTCAAAGTAGGGCTTTATGTTTCAAACAAGCGAGTTAATTAAAATTTATTGAGTTTCGATGTGTCGAAGAGGAGAGAGAGCGGGATACGAGTATAAGCTAAGAAATAAAATGAAGTAAAAAAAATTAAAAGACTATAAAAAATATTCCGCACACGCAAAAAACAACATAAAGCTCAGGTAAACCATTTTATACCAATAAGTGTGTGTATGTGTGAGGATTGGCAAACATTTCGCACTTGTGTACTTGCGGCTTTAACTGTTTAATCAGTCGCTTTGAACAATGGCGGTTGTTCTCACTGTGTTCTTAAACTTAGCGCTGCTAAATACAAAAAATTAACAATTAAAAAAAATAAATAACAGAAAAAAAATTAAATAACATTAACAAATTTTCCTACTGAGTAGCAAGAACTAAACAGCTTTTCAACCGAGATCGGCTAGATGGCGCTGAAATTCTATTTTTGCAACTAGAATCTATTACAATTCGTTAAAAAACAAAAAAAAAATATGAAAACTAACATCACGCTTGCCTACACACATTAATAAATGCGTAATAGTTATGTGGGCGGAAGTAGTCAAAAAAAAAATAAATAAATAAAAATCAGAGCAACAGCAACAAAGATAAGATAGCCTTTTAGCAACAAACTTAATTAGCCAGTCCAGATAAGAGCAGCGCAAAGATAACGAACTCACACATACATAAATATATTACTGATAACTGAGGCAAATAGTTTTGTAGTATTAAAGCACTATGGTCGCAAATAAGCCACCAATCGCCTAGGCACTTAAGGCCCACTATTATTCTATTTAGTTATCCTCAGAGTGTGAAGATATGTAGGAACATAACGAGTAAATATAGTCATGCAGCACAAGATGACTGTCAAGAAGAGCAGCTGTCAAAAAATATAACTGCAATCACATATTAGTTCCCCATCATTTATATGTAGCCAACCTCGAAAGAGTGCGAAAACCAAAAAACAAAAATAGCAAAACAATTATTTTCGAAAAAACAGGAACTTTATTTCTGCAATTTAGCAAATATATATACATATATATATATTGATTTGCGTTTGACAGTAAAATACATTAATTCCTGATGTCATGAACGAAAGAAGGCGAAGACTTTGGTTACAATTGCTATGTATGTTTGACAGTTCGTTTATGACGTAGTATGTCACAATTTTGTCACTATCATTATTGCTTGTGGCTCATATATGTATGATAACTTTAGCGGCAAACTGGAAAAATTGCGCGAATTTAGATTGTAAATAAAATTTTAGAATACCTACTCATATCAGACAAGTCTTAGTCGAAATCGTGACTCGACATAAATTATATGAAAATAAGTCAGACGAGAATTTAAAGAAAATGTTTGATGAGACGGCTGCAAATTATTGCTAACCAATTTTAAAATATTTTATTAAAAAAATTAAAGTTGTTAGCTTTGACCTCTGAACGTGAGGTGAAATTAAATATTACTAAGCATTGCTGCAGCCAAATTCAAGCTATCAAAATATAACAAAATAACTTTTTGCACTATATTGATAATATATTTTGAAATTATATTGATAAATCGAGCGCTAAATCAAGCGTTTTACGATTACTAAGCATCCACATATTTTGTAATAACAATTGTTACAACCAAACAACTACTTGATTTTAGTACTATACAATTTCCTAGCCATCGAAAAAGCATCAATAATATAAAAAAAAAAATTTAACAAAGAACAAAAGGACGGCACAAAATAAAACAAATCCGAATAACGATATATTACTGATTTTTATTACATTATTATTAAATGTGTATTGGTTTTCGAAACTTAATGCTAGTTTTGTGATGCAAGTAGAATTAAATAGAAAAGTTTGTCAACAACTAATAATAGAGGTTAGTGTACGTACTATGTAATGCCGACCAATATGCTAAGAATTTTATGTATGTATGGTATATACAGTCACTCACTTCGGTTAAAATATAAACTAAAATAATTTTATTATCTGCAAAAAGTTTTGTATTTTTTGTTATTTATATTTAAAAAAGAAATGAAAGAATAAATTATTTTATGACCGGAATAGGCGTCTGCATACTTTGGTGAGTGACTGTATGTATATGCTTATATATGTATTCTTAAAAAGTTCTAGTGTCTTGGTAAAGTGCTATTGTTGTTATTGTTGGATGAAATTTAATATATAAATTATATAAATATAATTCGATTCTTTTTACTATTTTATTGGTGCATGAATGATAAAACTTATTACTTCTAATCTATAGAGGCAGCGGATAGCAATTGCAAAGATGACAGTAATATTTTCAACTTGAATAAAGGGTGTTGCAATCAAAAGCGATAAAAAAAAACTTGAAAAATTACGTTAAAATTTTCGTTTATTGTTTAATAATTATTTTTTAGAAATTATCACTAAAAGTAGTGTAAAAATATCAAAATTTGTATTGAAACACCCCTTAATACGCGTAGTGGTATAAACTGCGTGCTGCTAAAGCTAAATATTTGTAAATACCAGCAAATGACAAAGATTCAACTAATTTCTTGTTATTTAGGCGATAGTAAATAAATATATAGAAATATTTTGCAGCCTAGCGGTATTTCACTCGGAGCAGTAAACCTGAAACCTTCGCAAACATTCCCATGCAATTTTTTAATCAATTTGAGCATAAGGTATTAGGAAGGTCGGCGAAATCGACATGGGTTGTTATTGCTGCTATTGCGGTATGAAGATGAATTGAATGGAAAGTGTTAGTTTTCAATTTAAATGCAAATATTTTTTATTTTATACCACACAATTTAGTATGCAACCTTCATGCGACAAATATATGTCCAATTTATTATTCGTATTGGGTGAAATGTATGTCGCTTAGCCCCCGAAGGACGACTTTGATTAGATAGACAGACAATGGGTAAACGAAAAAAAAAAAATCAAAAAGAAAATTTGCATACATACAGCCGAATAGTATTTGAAATGATTTATTTCCAAAAGAATGCTTCCGAAACTCAACAAATCAAAGGCATAAACACAAAATAACCCACGAACTCGCTGCTGTGCGTCAACTAGTAGCGGGCAGAACGACTTACAAAGAATCAATTTGGGTTTGACGAAATATTACACCACCTACAAACAAACACAACAGCTATGCACGACCGCAGAATCGATTCGTTGGTGGCAGCGAAAGCGAAAAAGGCGCTGTGGCAAGCACTGATGGCAGCTATGACAAGGAATGGTAAACAACAAATCTTGCTTATATTTAAGCAATTAAAATGCCCGACACTTTCGCGCCGGCACTGCACGAAGCTCCCACACACACCAACACAAAGAGGGAAAGAAAATATAAACTTGCGGATGACTTGCAAATCGGAACACAGCAAAACTAATGGAGAATACGCCTCAACGCTGCCTTACAACGCCGCCTTGCCACATCAAGCAACGTCTGTAATCACACTGTGGTTTCTTTCCCTGTGGGCGGCGACATGGCACCCGAGAGCACAACACCTGCAAACTTTGGTCTCGACAGCGGTGACGATGTCAAGTCCAATTGCGGTTGCGATTGTGAACGCAAGTTTAGGGGACGCGCACTAGTCGGTGGCGGTGGGGCTGTGCGCAATATTAAATGTGTTGGCTTAAGAGGTCGCTTGGGAGGCAACGGCGGCGGCGGTGGTGACGTTGATGACCGGCAATTCACTGAGGTATCGCTGCTGCGACGGGAATCAAAGAATGATGTATTGCTGTAGATGGCCTCCTCTTCGATGGTAGAGTAGATTTCTTCCGCCGTCTCGTAATAGGAGGCCGCATTCATGGCGCGCTGTAATGATGAAGTCGACTCAGATTCGACCGACGCTAAGGTGGAGGTGGAAAGGTCTAATGAGTGGACTGTGTTTTGATAATCGCCGGTGCTGATGTGAACGGCACTTCCGGAAGAGGAAATGGGCACAGTTGAGTTTTGTGCAACTATTTCGGATATTGTTGGAAATTGCATTGATGTGTATGACGGTGTGGGAGAGGCAAGGTTAGCAACTGGTGGTGTTCCGGTTGTTGACCCGAGCACTTTTGTTGCGGTGCTGGCGGTTTTAATTGTGTACGCCGCTGTGCTGCTTGTGCTGTTGGTGGAATAGGATAGAGAGGAAAATGCAGGCGTTGCTGATGAAGTGGTAATCGAGGTGTTAGCTGTAGTGATGGTTGTTAATGTTGATGTTGGTTTCGTACTAGTATATCTGTTGTTGGCGCTATTTGTGGTAGTGGCTTTAGCCGATGACACAGTGTTAAGTGTGTTTTTGTTGCTGCTTGCGGAACTGTGTGCAACATTTGCTACTTGTGTTGGTTGGGTTGTCGATTCACTCACCAGTACGCTACGCTGATGGAGATGAAGTTGTGGCGGCCGCTGTTGTAGTGGTTGAGGTTTCATATATACACCAGTGGTGGAAGATGTCGTACCACCGCTAGTGGCCAAAAAAATAGGTGTAGTAACCAACGATGATGACGACGATGAAGACACTTGCGATGTCGATGGAGTAAACTGTGCCTGTGGCAGCAGTACGAGACCACCTACCGTGAATAGCGACTGATTCTGTGGGGAATTAGAAAAGTGGTGGCTCGCACTAGTTGGAACCAATTGACCAGTTAGGATGTGAGTGGTATTCGGCTGCTGGGGTTGTGGTAGGTTGGTATATTGAACAGGTAGTATTTGCGCTGTGGGGAAAATTTGTGTGGGCGAGAGTGGGTTATTGGATGGAATGCCTGCCTGTAATGTTGCTGCTGATGATAAAAAATCCAACCTCGGCTGCATGTTTGCATTGGAAGAAGTAATAGAAGAAATAGGAGAAGCAATGTTAATAGTTGAAGATTCGCTATCGCAATGGGAGCTACTATCACAACCGGGATTCAGAGCCGTAGAGGAAATAAGGTGTTCGGGCGGTGGAGGGAGAGGAAATGAATCAAAATTGTCATCTGAACTATCTATAAATGGATTTACCGAGTGTTTGATGCTGGCGTAATGTGGAACTGGTGGCGCTTCTTCGTGCGGTGCGCCCAGTTCGGGTATTTGTGACTTTCTGCTTACACCACGTAGCTGGTTGCGCACTTCATTTTCATGCAGCAAGATTGTGCGATGCTCTTCTTCAGTAACCAGTATGTGATCTGGTGAATTTTCGTGTATAAACTCAGTGAGACGACGCTGTGAAGGCGGTATTTCATCATCGGAAAGTGGCGGAGGTGGTGGAAGCACCTCCAAGTAGTAAGTTTCTTCGCTCTTTTTTACATGTGCAATTGTCGACGAAAGCTTTGGCATCGTTGAGTAGTTGACGGGTGGGGGAGGTGGACTTTCACGTGGTCGCGATGGACTACGGGGCGCCTTTACCCGCACAGGAAGTTTCGCACTACTACCGGCAGGCGGTGGTGTTAATGGAACGGTTGGTGTTGTTGGCGGAGGCGGCGAACGTATTTCATGTATAGTGTTTGTGGTCGGATCATGTTCGAAGACTGTGAAATCACCATAACCTACGTGAGTTTTTTGGAAGGCATCGAGCGCAATATTGTGCACCAACTCAGCTTTTTTAGTTTTCGGTTTCGGTAATATGGGAGGTGGTATACGTTTCGGTTTGGCGCCGGTTGAGCTTGACAACAGATCTTCTGTAGATTTTGATTGCGCACTAACAACTGTACTAGGTGTACTACGACCACTTGAAGCTGAACGCTCTGAGGTTAACAAATTCTCAGTCGACTTCGAACCAAAGAAAAATTGTTCACGTGGTGATCGGAGGGCCGATGGTGATTTCGACATAGCTTTTGCCAATTCGGTATATTCATCAGTTTTGCTATTGTCTAGGAACGCTTCACGGAATGGATTTTCTCTTTCGATCTCCGTAGACACCGTAACCTTTTCGGGTTGCGGCGGTGGACTGTGATAGCCTCTACTACTTCCACCTCTACTGGACAAAGGCGAAGATGAGCGAACATGTTGCAGCGTAGGCGAATCAATTTCCTTAATACGCGCTACTGTAGGCACTATTGGCGGCAGTTTTTCGGGGCGTCTACAACGCTCCAGTGTCGAGTTATTCGACGATGAAGGGCTGGCCGAACGCAATATACCTTTGCGTGGTAAACGCGGCCGTGAACTTCCATACTCTTGCTCAGAATCGTAATAACGAGAATAACCGTCGGGCGTTCGTGAGCGTTCATAATCAGATTTTGACCTTTCATCACCGCTCAGATCAAAACTAACTGATTTGCGGTGACCACCAAATGCAGAGCCTGAAAGGTCGGGCGTGCTGCGACCAGAAATATTTCCTAACATTTCATGATTGCGCCGATGCGGACGATAGTCATTCTCCGAATCGCTTGTGTAACGGAGCGAAGTACGTGCTCGATCAAAGTAGTCCGAATCAGTATCACCTTGATCGGCCGAAGCATTCGGTGAATACGTATCGAATACATCTTCATCTCCGTCAATCACGTGCTTATCCGACTGTTCCTCCTCCTCCTCGTCTTCTTCGTCTTCTTCTTCATCGTCTTCTTCTTCTTCTTCTCCTTCCTCGTCGTCAATTATATAAATTGGTTCGGCTTTCGTGACTTTCTTTGTCTTTGGAGCAGTGTCGTCCTGACGAGCAATCGTTTGTTTTTTTACCATTTCTTTATACTCATAACGGGTGTCTGCAGGCTTTGCTACGGTTTCTGTCCTCGTTTTGTGTATTGATGTTGGGGTTGGTGTGCGCCTCTGTTGAATGTTCTTTTGAACAAAAATGTTCGTTCATGTTAGAAAATATGTATGTATCTTAGTTTTAGTTTCCAACAATTAGTTTAAGCGATAAAACATTTACACTGAAGCGCGTTTTAAAATGGTGATATGATAACAAGTGCTAATTGTGGTTTTGGTGCTTGGTGCTGGTGGAACTTGAGTGAGCGAGTATGTTGAAAATTAGATTGAGTAGTAATTGAGTGCTCCGGATAAATACGTACATATATAGTTTTTGGGATTTTTTTTGCTTTTTTCTTTTTTTTGAGTGTGTTTGTGAGTTTGAGTGAGTGAATTACTTACAATGCATTACTTAGTAAACTTCGTGGAGTAAGAAGTACAAAAGTGAATTTAAATATTTTTTGTAATTATTGACAGATACTCGAACTTTCGATTAGCACATTTGAATCCGAATAATAATCAATTTGATGTGATAATGTCTGAAGAGCGTATGATATTTCGGACAAATAGTTGATGTGAACAACCAATTCAAAAGAACATATTTTTCCAAAGTGAATTATGGCAAAAAGAAGCAGGAAACTCAGCGATAAATGTAGGACAAAACAAATGTTGATAAACGGATACACAAATACACATAAATGTTAGCGGAAACAAAGGCAAGCGTACAAAGCACGAATACTAAATTCTTCATATTCTCTTGCTCTACTAATTGACCTGCCGCTCAAAAATAAAACCAATTTCTTTTTGGTTTACAGAATTTTTACAAAATTATTTCTTTTTTTTTTGTTTTGTAATCAAGAAGACATTGAGTTTTTATTATTTTGTTTTGATTTTCTGATTTACATAAAAAATTTCACGATTTTTATAAAGTTGTCAATTAATATTCTTTCTTCAATGCAACAATCCGACTTATATTTGTATATTTTCATTATTTTGTATGTATAGTGCATAGTACGTGTTTTAGAGGAAAAGTCACCTTTTCTACATATATTCAAAACATTTAGTTTAATATATTATATATTTTTTTAAATTTTAATTATGCTATATACTACACATTGGACAATTGATATAAGTTTATAGTTCATTTGTTTGTTAGTTGTATTATCTTGGATTAGGTACACAAATCTTCAGGAATCTGTACGTTCAACAACAGTTTGTAATTATTGCATCAAAGGAGGGATTTCGGTAAATCTTTTTCAACATCTCAACATACCGAGCATTGATTTCTGTAAATTTTGTTGAAATTTCAACATGAACTGGGTTTGAATTGTAGTTTCATGTAAAAAAAATATACAGTAAAGTGAAGTTGTACACAAAAAAAAAAAAAAAATGACTTTTCTTTCTTCACTTTCTCCCTCATAGGAACCTAGAAGTTAACTGTTTAGCAGTTGAAGAACTTGTAATGTTAAACACGACTGTGAAAATATTTCGAAGATATTCCAAGTTACTTGTACAATTTTTAATAAAAGAGAGGTGCAGAATAAAGCAATTTATAAAAAAAATTGTTTTTGGATTGTAAGAGTAATTAAATAAAGCACTGCTGGAGTTAGAAAGAAAGCATTGGGCTAGCGCTCTCTTGAGTAGGATTCCGCAAGTACGTATTACATAACAGTTTGCAATTATATGCCTCGCAAATTTCTCTATTCACATTGAGGACTGCGATTTTCACTGTTACTACACTCGCAGAAGCTAGACAAAGCCCGTCATGTTAATTTATTGGCACTGCCAATGCTGAATAACGACATACAAGTACCACGGTGCCGATTACTACTCGGCAACGCGTTCGCATCGTGATAAAGACGAATAAGTGTAATCGTAATAATAAATATAAAAGAAAGAATTTTTTTCAAATAAGATTAGCCTATAGTATAAATAATTTATAATTTTTTTTTTTTTTTGTTTTTTGTAATAAAACCAATATATGACACAAAATTTCAATTAACAATGACATTTTCAAAATTTGTTATTTTCTTTCTATTCAAAATTTCATTTTCGTTTTATTAATATTTTCCACTTATGTATTAAACACATAGACGACGGCAGACGACAGGCAGCATTTGTCAAATATTAAAATAGACACGTACATATATATGGGCATAGCTATTAAGACAACAGCACGACTTCACGGCAGCAGGCTTGCAGTTGTCGCTGTCGCCAAATTAAAATTTCTAATTTTGCCGACGGCAGCTGTAGTGATGCCACTAACATGTGAAATGCAAAATTATGCAAATCTCTAACAAATCGAACGTTCATTTACCAACAGAAGCATTAAATAACTTCCATATATCATTTGTAATAACAAGTGATCATTTAAAACGAATGCACAAAAAATGTCATTTATAACAAAATATTTAAATGCCAGTGAAGTGAAAAGTTTTAACACGGCAACAATGAAATTGTGTATATCGGCTATTTGATATGTAGCTGCCGTCTTCGAAATGTTCCAAGAAGCTGGATTCAAGGCGCCGTTTGCAGACAAGAAAATTTCGCTGCCGCTACGTCGTGTCGCGCAGTCATCTACGTGTTTAAAGCTTTAAACTTAAAATTCAACAAACTTAACGCGATGTTTTCAACACAATAATTAAGTATGTTCTTCTTACATAAACAAAACACTTTTATTTACATTTATAACAAATCTGCAAAACAGGCTGCTGTGGTTAAATTCCGATAGTACAATAAGTAATAGTTGATAGCGGAACACGTCTGAAAGCTGACAGCATATACCGTTATGTTTACAAAACATTTGTAGCTTTGTCAAAATAAAATTTTCAACTTTTGAAGATAACATAGTCACACAGATATACATACTTATATATGTATACATACTGACTGACAATATTGGACAGGGTAAATTACAATAAATGTTTATACTCGTATAGTACCATATGTATAAGTGTTTGTGGAAACCATTGTTGAGACTTTTAGGTCGTTAAAAGTAGAAAAATATTTCCGTTATTCAAATAGTAGTGCAGTACAAGTAGGAAAATTTCGCTATACTTATTTATGTATGTACTTTATTTGCATGTATTAGGACACATTATATGTGGCTGCAGCAGTATCTGTTTTCATATATTTTAACTATGTAATTATCCTCTCTGTATATATTATAAATGCATTTGCATAGTAACACTGTTATCATTTCATAAACATACAATTGGTTTTAGTTCATTTTCCGAAACAAAAAAAAATAGTACAAACAACAATTCATTTATTATACTACATATAACAAAATTTCAATTTTAACATTGACATACATACAAACACATAGTTTGATAAACTTTTCCAAAACAAACGCGCGTCAAATATTCGCTAAATTCAATTCATCGCATGGTTGCATTTTTTGTCTGTTTTTTTTTGTTTTTTTTTTTTTTTTTGTTTTTGTGGTTGCTTGCTTTATGCATTTATTTATTATTATTTTACAATAACCGTTGATTTTCGCGATTTTTACTCATGATCTGGTAACGCTACAACGCATTATTGACGCTTCCAGCAGCTAATGGAAGCTTTGTGTGCTTGTTTACTCGCATAATACGCACATACATAAATATACTTATGTACATATTTTTACATAATTTATTTTAATTTTATTTTTTTATTATAATTTTTTTTTTATTAATTTTTTTGTTTGCAACAAAATTTTTTAATTCCTGCTGTTGCAAGCGCGCTTTATGAACTGTTTGCTGCGCGGCCCTTTTCGACCGTTAAACTAAATATTCAGTCTTATAGTTATAATCATCCACTTGTTAAGCATTATTTTGCTCTGTGCTCTGCAATGAAAAACCAAATTCGGAAAAACGAAACAGAAAAGAGATTTTTTTGTTTAATTTCAAGTCGAATTAAGTTAGATGATTTAATTGTTAAGAGTTTTTTATTTGAGATTTTACAACAAATATTCACAGTTTTGATGCAGTGTCAATAGAGAGGAATACACCAATATTTTTTGGAATTAAAAAAAAACTAAGAAATCTGATTTAGGAGAAAGGGTTAGAATGAGATTAACACCAATGTACATATGTATTTAATATTCGAGCAGCATTGCAAAAGTAAGTACAAAAGTTTTTCAAACTAATACCAAGTGTGAAACGGAATCTAATTTCTTATCTTATTTATTTCTTTATGCTTAGCAATTCATAAAAAAAAAATTACGTACTTAATAAATGGTTTTTTAACTTAGTTTCTTTCAAATACACATATGTTTGTATGTCTGTTTGTGTGTTTTTACGAAAACCAAATTAAAACCAATTCATAAAAATATATACAAAGCGGAGGGTTATAACTGCTTCGGCATGCACACAACTAGTCTTCATTCGATGCTTCAACTAATTAAACAAAGGAGTAGTTTTAAAGAAAAAATTTTAAAATATAAAAATTCACATTAAATTATATTTTATACAGTTCGAAGTTCCTCGACCTCCATATACGCTTAGTGCTGCATACTTTACACAAATTCCTTACAATATCGTTTTTTACTTCAACACTTTTGCTTATAGTTGTAAGTAATTGTATATAGTTTCAGTATTATTTACTTAATATTACTTAAATATTGCCTTAAAATTACCTTCGAAAAGTATTTTATTAATTACAACTGTGTATATGCCCCAATATTAGTCCGGAAAGCAAGAGATATAACCAAAAGTACTGAAAATTGTTTAGTACCAGTGTTGGAAAACGTTTTATAATTTCGAAAAGGTAGCGTTATCTACTCTAAATCGCTAATGTAGTTTGAATTATTTACCCGAATCACTTGTAAATGATTTAATGAAAGCAAAATAAGACGTCGAAGAAAAAGCTCGAAATAGTGTTTCAACGATATTTTTGAAATCATACTAATTTATTAGATGATTAAGATGACATGTTGCAAAAAGAAACTGCTAAAGAAATCTATTTTTTTATTTATGTTTAAGTCAATTTTAGACTGCACATTGAGATTTATAGAAATCTATTTCAAATCGCTTTAAAAATAAATTACAGCTAACTGAAATAGCTTTTCATATTTAAAAAAAATGCTCAAAGGGGTTGCGTTGATACTCCTGAGATTAAAAAAATATATCTGGACTCTATCTTTCTGTTGTATTAGAGTGGAAACCAAATATTACATGAACTGCAAAGTATTCGGCACCACAACGTTTTATTTTGGAATAAAAATAGGGCTTTATTTTTTGACACAATCTCTATACAGAGCAATGCATTCATTGAAACGGTTATTTCGGTAATTTCGTTACCGGTTCAAAATTGGAATTTATTTCCAATTTGAAAACACCAAATGAACTTTTTTTATCTGCGAGCAAAAAAATCAGAGGTGGCGTCACTTGGAATCAATAACTTGAAAACGATTGTATGAAATATCATGAAACTTTGGCAATATTCTAGTTAAGGTTAGTACTTTAAAACAAGAATAGACATTTTTTTGTTTTAAATGGTAAAGTAAATGGTTTTTATAACAATAAAAATAATATAATAATATTCGTAAAAGTCTTTTATGAACTATTTTTAATCAAAGAAATTTGCAAAGTTATAGAGCAATTTTGAATGTTAACCTTTACTATTCAAGAGAATTTTTGCAGTAGAAAATTCAACAGTATTTAAGTTGTAACGTTTCATAGCATAAACGCCCTTCTATTTAACCTACTTACTTCTAACCCAGAAATCAGCATTCCACTGTCAATAACCACAAGTCTCCAGAAAAACGAAAAACACAAGTTTGCAATGAAAATGCGTGACATACTTTTGAAATGGAAAAATTTACCAAAAACGCAAAAAGAATGAGTGAACAGGTCTGTCTAACGATGGCGCAAACGTGGCGCCTAACCGAAACAAAAGTTGTTTGTAGTTAAATTCATTTATATACTAGACTTTTGTGCAAACTTTACGCGCATAGTTTTTTTAAAAATGTTGCAATTTTTTAAAACTTATAATTATACATACACATGCACATACATACAGGCACACATATGCATATATACGAGTACATAAGTATGAAATATTTGCTGCAGCTACCGTGTATAATGCCTACCTAGGCATATATGGTATATGTATTGTATATGTATATAGATTTATAGTTTTTGTTTACAAATATTAGTAACACGTTTTCAACTGGGCAACTTTTCCGCTGAACAACAACATTCCGCTTTCAAATAAAAATTAGCAACGTAAACAACGGGAAAATAACACACCAATGCAAAGAAAAAGAAATCATGAACGTTCTTTGGAGAACAGGTGAGATATTTGTTTGAACACAATTTAAAGTTGTTAGCAATGTTTCAGTATGAGTACATATATGTTTGGCTGTGTGTGGTGTTGGTGATTTTTTTTCTGTTTTTTTTTTTAGCATTGGTGGAATACATGAACACAACACAAAGAACTGAGAGTAAATGTTATTGTTCGACACGCACATGACAACACAAGGATAATGGTACTGGGATGCATGTTAAGCCTAATAACAAACAATGCAAAATGTCTATAAATTGTCATCAACATACCTGTTGCTGAGTCGGTGGCGCTGCCACCGTATTGCCACTTGCTGCCGCAACGTTGGCCAACGCTGGCGAGACAGGTGGTGATGTTGTGGTGGTTGTCGTGGCCGCAGTTGTGTGTGTGGGCAATGTTGTTGGTGACGTGTGAATTGGCGGTGAGGCGGCCAACAACGCAGGCGACGGATTTGTGTCGAGTGTGTGTTTCGAAATGACAACTGTTGTGGTCTTTTGAATTTTATCCTGATCGTGATGTTCTGCTGGTGACTTGGGTGGAACTGAGGTGAATGCATCGGCAGCACGCACTATTTCAAGCACCTACAGAAATAAAGGTAGAAAAATGTGAAAAGAAAAGAAAAATTAAATATTAAGTCTGAGTCAATATAGGTGCGCGAATTAGTCGATTTTAATACCTTCTCGGGTGTACTCTTTTCTTTAGACTGCACCAGCGTTTTGTCTGCATTAGCAAACGTGGTGAGTGCATCTTGGGGAGTTGTTGTTGCTGTTGTTGGAGCACCGCTCTTGGATGTTTCGCTTTCAGCTGCATGCTGTTGTGGCAAAGCGCCAACGCTCGGCGGTGTGGTGGGCGAGTGGGCCAATGCCGCCACAGATGCCAATACTGAGGGGTCGTTATTCGGTTCGGTTTTCGGTGTAAAAACTTCAAAATCCTAGGTGAGCGAGAAATGTTTCAAGGTTTATTTAAGAGCAGCTCTACATATATATATTTTTTTTTTAACTATTTAGTAAGGAAACAATTATAATTTTTCAAGGTCGCAGTGTCACGATTATCGTATTATGCGAAAATTTATATCCATATACAATTATAACTTTCGTTCACACTTACTTGTCGTATGCGCTCATCTTCGTCGCGATCCAAACTCGAAATGCTCTGACTTTGGCTCAGTTCCGATCCAGTCTCGGAAGCACGCGAACCTAATAAATATGTAAATAAAATAAAAGCAAATAGAAATTAAAATTTGTCTTGCTGGATGTGCTAAAACAACAACTGCATAGCAACAAAGTGTCTAAGCCGAATTGAATTTATTACGAGGCACTGGAGCGCCCACTAGATTCGATATTGCCACAATAACACACATACAACGCGGCATATGTATATATAACTGTACATACCTTGTCGGCTGCCTGTTGTGTTGAAGCCTGTGCTCATGCCGCCAGCAGCCCCAATGGAATGAATTAAATTGGATTTGTCGTATCCTTTGCACGCGATCAAATGAATTTCATTGCCAGCATTGCGCAGAACATTCACAGCGTCCTGATGTGAAATACCCAACAGCGAGTGGCCATTGACTTCCAACAGGCGCATACCAACCTGAAAGCACACAACAACAAACAAATTCACGAAGTTACAAATTTTGAAAATAAAACAATTTTTTAAATAAATTGAAAATTTTAAAAAATCCTAAAATTAACGAAGCTGATAACGGTTGCGAATTTTTCAATTGAAAAAAGTAATAAAAATTAGTTTTTCAATTTGGATTACGAAGCAAAAATTAAATTTTCAATTTTTAGTTCAAAAATGTGGGATTAAAATTTTGAAACTTAATTATTAATTGTAAAATCGGCATTAAAAATTTAAAATTTATCGAAATTTGAAAATTTAATTTTTAATCCCCAAATCATAATTAAAAATTGACAAAAATCGTTAAATCGTTTGAATGTGTAAGTTTGTCGAACACTCGACTCTAAAGTATTGAATATGATGACTGATTCTGTGCGCGAACACAATTTTTTTTTCGATTTTTTAATTATAAACATTGGATTAACATTTTTTTTATTTTTCTATCCGGTATTTTGGATTAAACGTTTATTTTTTCAAGCCGGTATTTGAGATTAGAATATCAAAAAAAAATTTTTTGAGTTTTTAGCGCTTACAAAATTTTAATAAAATGTTATTTCAATAATTTTTTTATTGTTTACGCTATATTTGCAGCCCTGTTTATGCCACAGATGCATGCCATGCCTCGTGGTTTCTGTAAGTTTCGATTTTTGTATTAAAAATAGTTTTCGAGGTTGGAAACTCATATGCATAACGTTCTACAATTAATAAACACTATTGAAGCCAGATAAATTTTACTTTCACTTGCAATAAATATAGTTATTATATATACACACACATAGGTATATACATACCTTAAGTCGTCCATCGCGTCTTGCCGCGCCGACCGAATTAATTTTCGATACAAATACACCCTCGTCGGTGGGATCGCATGGATTGCCGCGCTGACCATTAAGTCCGCCCTTTATGTGCATGCCCAGGCGTTCGCCTTCAGCTTTACTAATTGTGATTTCCTGTGATTTATAATAATAAGCAGTTATAAATATAAAAGTGCAACATAACTTAACGGCACTGCCACTTGCAACAGCACAATCACTATATGGTATGTATAAGTATGTGTGTATTTACTTATGTAGACGTAAATGGCATAAAATACGTACTCAAGTACATACAAGTACATATGCGTATGCATATTTTTACTTATGCGTACACATATATACATATACTATATACATAGATATATACCAATGAAGGATGCATATTGCAAACAGTATAAATAATAATAAAATAACAAGTGAACAAAATAAACAAACGGACAGAAATATGTTGTAAAAGTGAAAAGCGTAAATATATAATAGCCCTGATTCTTTTGATTTTTGGCGCGATTCCCATTTTCATACGCGATAGTGAATATATGTACATATATAGCATATATGAGGGGCGAATGTAAAAATAGTAATAATAATAAAACTATGTAAGTATATAAAACTAAAGTGCGCGATAAAAATGTGCACTGCTGTGCTGCCATTGAAGGAGTGGTTTAAAAATGTTGGAAATATGTACCAAAAGGAAAGATTTTTTTGCTGCACTTTGAGAAATATTTTAATTTTTTTTCGGGTAAGTTTTTTATACAATGAAATACTCTGTAATAAAATATTTTGTTAAAATCCAAAGGCTTTTATGTACATATATAGAACCAATGATAAAAGCATGCTACCATATTAACGAAAATGTTCATTGAGACAAGAAATCTCAAAAAAAAACTTAAATATTTATTTTAAAAAAATTCCGTAAGGCCAAACTGTTTTGTAAAATCGAGTCGAATTTCACATTGTTGACTTTTTGTTGTTGTGAAATTTACAAAATGCATTAAAGTAAATAATTAAATTTAAGTAACAAATTCTATTGGCAGCGCTTCTCTTTAAAGAATGCTTTACATGCAGCAGTGATATACACTATACGCCTAAAATATATAATAAATTTTACTGTAAATAAGTAAAAACTATTTTTATAAATCTCTAGCAATACGTAAAAGCAGCTTATGTTGGCGAAAGGTATTTTTTCTAATTTAAATTGAAAATAGCTCTGAGCTAAATGACTTAAGTCAACTTAAGCTACTTTTACAATTCACCATAAATATTGTACATTCATAAATATAATACGCCACTTTCGTGCATTTTTTCGCCTTCACCCAAAAGCACAAAAAGAGCTTTTTTTAAATAATGCTTTTCCATGTTTTGCTTTGCAGATAACTAATATAATCAAAATCAAACAAATTGCTTACGTTCTAAAAAACTTAACTGATTATGAAAAACAAACGTATTGAGAAACAAACGTAAAATTTAAAACGAACTGTTAGGTCTTTAATAATGTTTAGTCCGCAGAAAATGAACAAAGCAATTTTGAAAACCCTTAAATATGTTAAAGAAAGTCTTTGTAAATAAATAGTAAACTAAAAAAAAAAGAACTCGGAACTTGGAAAAATTTTCGATCTTAACGGAACTCATTCATAAACTCAACAAAAATCAATAAGAATTTTAGAAACATTTAGAGAAACACTTAGTGAATAATCCAAACAAAAAGCGGCTTACCTCAGTTTGTAAAATTTCTACCTCAATCTTGGATATTGCAATTAAAAAAGGAAAAAGGTGTAAATATTTTGCAATAGTGAGAAAAAAACAAGCTATGTTGTATAAGCTAATATTTTTTGCAGTTTTAGCGAAATTGCTTACAAATAATACTTTGCTATGAGATGATATTTGCTACTACATGTTATTACTGTATGTATGTATTTATTTATACTACAAGCACAATGAAGCTTAAACTAAGCAATTTTCGAAAAACATCGAAAAATATTTGTGTTTGTTTTTTTCGGCATTCAAGCTTACCTGAAAGCCAGGTGGCAATGGATCGTGCTGTATGGTCAGCTTGATGTCGTCGCCTGGTTTTAGCAATTCCATTACAGCCTCTTGATGCGTAGCACGCGATATATCCACGTCGTTTACTTTCAAAATTCTGTCACCCATACGCAATTTGCCACATTTGTGTGCGATGCCATCGGGTACGACCTGCAATTCGATTAAGTTGTGTTTAAAAGCAGCAATTGAAAATACAAAATTTAATAAGAGTAAACTTTATTAGCTAAAATTGTGATAAAATAGAGATGCTTAAAGTTTATTCTCAAGTTAAATGCTGGTTCTTAAACTGCAAGACGCTTAGCACTACATTAGCAGCCTGCTCGCATTACATTTGCTCATTTGCATTTGCGCCGCAAGGGATCAGCCGAAGAAAGGCGCAAGCAACAAATGAAAACTTTAGTAAACACTTGTGTAATTTATGTAATAGTCCAGCACAAAACATTATTACATGCCAACGCAACACTGCTGCCGAAGTGGGAGCGACTTCCATTTGGCGCATACAGCCATTATTTACTGCCTATATACTTACATTTTTATTTAGCTATATTTGTATATGAAATGTGCGTGAAATAAGCGGAACTGACAATGAAAAATTGCCGCTTATTAAAATAGCAAACATAAAATATTTCAAATAAAGTGAGTAGTGTATAGAATGGAGGTGTAAGTGTATAACACGCTTTATTGTGGGCCAAACTTTATCTGTAGTAAAATGGCATAAATCAATACAATTTCAAACTAGAGCAGTTAAGGCGACTTGGTACCAAATATTTACACAAAAAAGGTGTGACTCTCAAAACCAATATTATTATCAGAAGGGGTCTAGGGATCATCAATAAAGTTCACTAAAGCTATCAATCAATAATTTCCGAACTGCAGTTCTCTTAAAAATATATGATATATGAATAAATGCATTCATTTATTTGAATTTTTAAATAAGAATTACCGATCTCGGGTAATTTACCAGGTTTTAGGCTTAGGGTTTACGTATTTTATTACAAAACATTTCATGTGAAAAACGAAGTACACCGCGTATGTTTATCTGTCAATCAAACAACAAGACTAATTGAAGCGGCATTTCCTTTATAGGGTTTGAGAATTGCTCTGTTGTGGTAAGATCTCTTGACTTTCTCGACGTATTTTAAGTAACAGCTTAGTATACATAAAAGTATTATTAAATAAGTAATTATTATAATTTCTTTAAATGCCTTTGAAATCGATATTTCTTTTTATACCCTGAACATTATTAGCTTGTTACGAAGTTTGTAACAGCCAGAACGAAATATAGATGTAGCTATAAGATATAGCTGTTATACAAACTGACTGACCAAAATCAAGTTCTCATATGAAAAAGTAGAAGATATCTTCACAAATTTGACATAAATTATTGTCCAACAATTTCCGAACAAATTGTTCAGATAAGACCGCTATAGCATATAGCTACCATACAAACTAAACAATCGGAATTAAGTGTTTCATTTGACGAGTTATCTTCAAGAAATGTGGCAGATTTTATTATCTAAAATACCGCTACACTTTTTGAAAAATTGTTCATATCGCACAAATATAGCATATAGCTACTATACAAACTGAACGAACGGAATCAAGTTTTTGTATAAAAAGCTTCTTTAATAAACGAGGTATCTTCAAGAAATTTGGCAGATGTTATTATCCAAGACATCGTTACAATTTCCAAACATATTGTGCAGATCGGAATCAGAATAAGTATCTTTTCATGCTCTCTTATGCTATCAAAAATGCACCTGTGAAGGGTATTTTAGCTTCGGTGCAGCCGAAGTTAACTTTGTTTCTGGTTTTTATATGTCTTTACAATGTAATGATTACATCAACCTGTCGAACTAAGTATGAGGTTTTAATGAGATCCTGAGTCACGGAATGTTACGAATCGAAGAAATTTCCATACACAATATACTCATAGTTTTGTTTGACAATAAATATATATTATATAAAATTGCGAAAATGCCTATGGAAACACGATATGTGAATTGTATTCCTGTTTACTTAAATGAATGCAAGTTTTAAGCGTTTGTATTGACGCAAGTCGGACTTGCAGTATCACTCGATTTTTAAGGGGTGCTCGTTCAATACAGTTAAGTAAAAAAAAATCACATGTGCGTAACTTATTAAGTAAATCTTTTAGTGTACTTACGTGCGATATAAATATGCCCGTCTCATGTGAACCGAACGGCACACAGGAATGATCCGTACCGCCAATGATGCTGAAGCCCAGCGACCCTTGATTCTTCGGCAAGACAACTTCCTATAATTTGAATAAAATAGAAATATTGAACTAATGTGCTGACTACAATAGGTACGAATGTGAAACAATATTTACAATATTCTTTTTTAACAAATCGTTTACAATTTACAGAAAATAAAATTTTGATAGACCCTCGAAAAGCGCAATGAATGTTCTTGATGATGTGTGCGATAATTGTTGGTGATATTTACAAACAATATACAAATGTATACATTTATTAATTAAGTATTTTAATAGCCATGTTAATGAAAGCAGAAGAAACATGTACATATGGATATATCTACGGACCGTTTACAAAACAACTTATTTGACTTTAGAAGGTTTCCTTTCAAGTAACTTTAATGTTATGTAAATAAAATATTTTGAACAGATTTTAAGGATGGTTCTTTAAACGACAGTTTTTTTAATTGTAAAGGTTCCGCTTACAGCTTGAGGCATTATACGTACTTAGTCGAGATAAGTTGTTTTGTCAAATGCCCACAGATGTATATGGAATAATGTTCTTCCGAGTAAATTATTTCCTAAGCAATTTCGTGAATTTTTATTTTTTGAAGTGCATGAAGTTTGAGTGTATTTGTGCATGCAAGTAGTTAGTAATGTATATAAAAATAATGACAGCGTTGATTAAATTTAACTGAAGCAATAAGAAAAGTTTATGAAATACCTGAGTTAAGTGATTTTCGATACCAAAACAAAACGTGTGCGATAACAAAACAAGTGCGAATTCCTTATGTTATCGTGTTTTTTTAGTTTCTTACTATTACAATTTTGTATAAATAAGTTAAAATTACATATATATTGCGCAGTATCTACATAGAACAATTTTTACTCAATTTTTTTATTGAGCGTGAATATTTTTTTTACATGGTTGACTAATTATCTCCTAAATGTCGGAATACGAAACATTACTGTAGTAGATGAATAACAATATATGGGTAATTGCAAATCAAATTTTAAGGGGCGCAACTGGTGTGAAATAGAGAGAAAATATTTCGATGGGTTATACCTTTAAAAATAACATACTAAAATTTTAAACTGATATCTCAAATAATTTTACTGTTACAGCCTTCTATCAGCACCATCAGTTTATCCTTAAACCCGATTTTCTCGAAACAGTATTTTTGGACTGACTGTACCACTGCGTATGCCTCTTAAATTCTTTCACAAGAAGGTCTCCACAACATGGAAAAATCCTTTATATTTCGACCAAAAAAGGCGTATTTTAGACAACTGACATCATATGAATAATTCTATAAATTAAGCGACTGAATTATATTTATAATTATACAAGTTAAATGAAAGTTCTATACCAGTCAAATTTCCCGTCTATAACTTCGAAATCAGAGTGTGGTATACGAACATTTTTGACCTCAACACTGAATTATTTCGTGAACTTGAATAGTCTCTTTATAAATGAAAAATTGCTCCAGTACTTACTGAAAATTGCTGAATATTCATTGAATATCTATGATCGACTTATGAAACGTAATAAAAACGAACAATTTTTAGGGTGTTTTGAGGTCTACTTCACATGATTTAACCTTAGATTTTTTGTGTGAGGACTTTGTAGCTTCAGTACAAAAAGGTTTTTTACTTCAATTGATACACCAAATACAACATATAGATAGAATCCGTAACCTTGCCATAAATTCTGTTACAAAGTTTACAATGCATACAGCGAGGACAAGTTCGTAGAAAAAGTGCACTTAAATTTTATTATAATTTGTATATAGTGTCTAATCATATATAAAAATCAGTTCTATTTTAGCTTTCGCTTATTACCAATGAAGTTGGGAATTAAAGACAACCGTATTGCAGTGATTGTTTTGCATAAATGTGTAAAAAGCGCACTATTGATCGTTTTTCCCAAACGTCTACAGTTGATGACAGGCATGAAAGTGGTCGATTGGTAAAACCTATTCGCGTAGTTCAAACCTATTCAGCCATAAAAAACTATGCGCGAATGCATTCGCAGCAATAGCCCAAAGTCAAGACTTTTTCGATATGATCTCCACATGAAAGCCAATTGTCGGTCAACTGGTCATCTTCTGAAAACGCGCTTGAGCAAAGGCTCAACAGATGCAAGCGGCTTCTTCAGTGGTACGCGGTCAACGTTCATGGTCGTTGTTACAGATGAAAAATTATTGGCCGCCTGGATGTGCAGATTTGAATCCATCTGAGTTAGAGGTCAGAGACCCATCAAATAGCCAACAGAAATTTCGGGTCTCAAAAAATCTTTGGTTGTCAATACCTATAAAAACTTTGTGGGTTGCTATTCATCAATGGCCGAATCGTTTGAGGGCTTGTGTGAAAGCAAAAGGTGGCCATTTTGAATCAAATTTTATACATCGCTAATTTAATTAATTAAATAAAATTAATTTTGTATTATATTATTTGAAAGTATAGTATAATTTCATTTTCACAACGATCTGAACTTGTAACAGAACTTATGGCAGGACTTAATAATGTGGTGCGTAATAAGCATTTTCAATTTATTTAGAACATAAGCGATATTAGGAACTATTTCTATAACCCAAATCACTGCAAAGTTTCGTAATCTTCGGATAACACAGCTTCTGGCAGATCTAACCGAAATTATTTTCTCGGCAGCTGTAAGTTTTATCCATTAAACCGGCCATATAAAGGCGGTACATATGAACACGACATGCAAACAAGATTTTGTTGTTAGTATAAAATACGCATACGAACCAAATAAATATAATACAAGTATCATAGCATTTACTTGGCCGATGAAAGCTGCGGTCTGCTCCGCATATGACGCATATATCGCGTATACAACAACAGCTGTGCGCCAAGATGCGTCACTTCAGCCATAAGGCATGGTAAATATTAAATATTAACAAAACGAAAATTGCTCTGAATTATTCTTCATAAAGTAAGCAGCATAGCCAGCAAAACAGCACCCACAAAGGAAGGAGTTTGGTTAAACTTTTTTTTAAATAATATTAACAAAGTGCAAATCCTAAAGTAAGTAAGAGAGTAAGTAAAATTGCTTCAAAAGCATCGGAGGCCAAGCGTGTGGTTGCGTTAGTAATCTGCAAGGAACGGCATTTGCACTTTTAATATGGAAGGAAAGTAATGGTAGCAGAAAACTTTCAACCGATGCGGAGCTCACAATTACATACCACAATTTTCTTCCACATTTTAGAAAGTTTTTGTTTTAGTTTCCCCTCACTTGGGAGATAATAATTCTTAAAAGCCACCAACCAATACGATATCATACAGTTTAGCAAGAGAAGCAGGAAAAATATTTGCAAATGAAATTAATTCCAACAATTTAGTGACTTTGTCGAAAATTGCAGTAATATAATATTACTGCTGGTAAGTTTAAAAAGTCAACCTTAAAGTAAAGCATAGCGAAATGTTCTTGCAAACGCTGATAGTGGAAAGCTCGGATGTTTTATGAGCATCTTTAACAGAAACTAGAGAACTTTATAATGTTTGTATTATATAGTGTTATAGGGGCTCTCATGAGGGATCAATAATAGTCTTTAGTATCATTTATGTATTTCATGATACCTTCAAGAACACACATCTTCGTACATATAAATATGTCGTTATAAGTGCTAGGTCCTCAGGCATATAAAATTCAAAGTCCATTTTAAAACTTATTTCGGTTGAAGAAATTATTCTCACTATCTACTCAATGGAAACAAGATTTTTTTCGTCAATATTAAACAAATATTTAATAAATTTATATGTATGTACACATATTATATGAATGTCATTTCGTCTGTTGGCTTAATAACTGATTATTTTGAATTTTAGATTTTTCAATAAAAAATTAAAATTAAAGAATAAATTTAAAAAAATTATAATTTAATTAATACTTTAAATTAAAATGTGACATTCACCTCTGAAGCACTAAATCTACTTAAACTAGGAAATTTTAATTTTTCTGCATATCTTCTAAATACGTCCCAAGGCGAGTCTGCGCTTTTGTTTAATTTCGCAAGATTTACATACAGATATTTTAACATTTTCAAATTTGGTATAGTTGTATTTTTGGTAATCTTGTTACAAAATAAAGATTAAATTTGATTAAGTGGCCATATCCACTTCTGAGTTTCAAAAAATCGATTTTTTGTTTGGCTTATACCATATAACGAATGTACATATTTCGAGAACATATAGAATAGAATATTTTTAAGTTGATGCGGCAAATAGTTTTGGAGATATGAGCGTATTTGTAAGAATCTTATAACTTGGTGTAATCGGCTCCGACTACAAAACGGTTGGACAGATCGCTTTGAAAATTTCACTCAACCTTAATAGTTATATTTGTTGGGATCGAAAGAATAAGATTTTGATATTAATTTCGATTTTTTAAGTCACTCTGAAGTGTAAATTTTTTCATAAAAAACATTTTTTTTTTAGTTTTTTGAAAACCGTCATTTCGTCCAAAATAGAAATATTGACTGGTCCGTCGACTGTATTTATCTATTATTACAATATTTTGGTTATTTGTTTTTGGATTTGAGATAATTTTCCCCAGCATCACAAGACACCTTTTTTCGGGCACCCCCCTGGTGATCAGCTACGGTATCGAAGGGAATCCAAAAATTTCAAAATGCATCACCGATTATCAAAGTACAATAAGTTCTGTAATTTTATATTTTTTTTATTTATTTATTATATAAAATGTGGTTCCAAACAAAAATTCACAAAAAACGCGATTTTTAGACTTCCATGTGTATAAAACTCCTTGAATCTTCGTTCCAGAATTTTTTTTATTTTTTAAAAACAAAAAAAAAATGTATTTATAAAGATGACGTAAGGACACGGATTGGCGAATCTCGCCGAGTTGCAGAATTATGTACTTGAGGTATTTTACTAACTCTCTTTTACTAATTATAATCCAGCACTTAATCAAGATAAGATAATAAAAGATTAGAGATGAGATGTACTCCGCCATGGTATTCTCCTGATTCCTTGCACCTGATTATAATATATTTATTATATTCATATTTGTCCTCTTCTTTATGAATTGTGGGATTTTAAACTGTTTAACTGCCTTCGTTGTTATTATAAGCTAGCATAAAAAATCAAAAAAAATGACGAGGCAATTGGCTTCACTTCACTCTTCTGGTAGAACAGAGTGTAAGAACTAAGGATTTAACATCTCTAGATATCCTGGGACCAACATACATGGTGTGAAAATTATGTAGTTGCTTTAGTAAATTTGGACGTTTCGTCGTTGTTTTCTTTATATTCAGAAATGTATCATAACGGACAGGGCTAAAATTGTACAAGTATGAACTACGATATGAACTACCGATAGAAACTAGCAAAAGAAAAATCTAGTCTAAAATAACTTCGTTCGAAAAGCTATTATTTTAGAACATTGCTGCGATGAGCGCCGGTTAAAAATTGTTACATATAAAACCGGCATTTTTTAACATATATAAACGACTACCTTAAATAAACTGTTTAAACACCAGATGCGTTTTTATGACAAAATATATAAAAGTATAGTGCACCTTAAAATTAGTAAACATTTTGATAACCCACCACAGGCAGGCGGGCTTGATAATATTTCATTGATGTATGTATGTAGATGTGCTGTTACCTTCAAGGGCAATTTTATGTAAATAATTAATTCCTTTTATAGACAAAATCAAGATTTCTTTAAATGAAGTAAATTAATTATCTACATGCATACATTTATCTACTATATATCTAAGAAAAATTGCAAGCGTTCGAATGTAAAAACAGACATCGCACTTTGAATTGATCATTTTATAATAATTTCGAAGATACTTTTTTAGATCGAGAAATGTTTGAATGAAAAAGTTAAAATTGCACAGACTTTTTCATGCAGTCTAAAACTGAGATATGTATATGTATATTATATAGATAAAATTTTCATCTGTTTTTACACTTTAACGCTTCATTCATAATGGTGTTTATTGACTATTTATTTGGCGCATGCATACACGTATGTATCTATGTATGTATGTATGTATGTATGTAGGTAATTATAAGCGCCCATTTCAATAACCTTTACAACTACCGTTAAAGTGAAACCGCAAATTTTTAGTTGCACTAACTACTCGCAAAGTAACTGAAAACCATTGACCATTAAGAGTTTGTGTGATGAGAGTTAGTTATTCGATATGGGTGCGCCTAAGCATCCGGTTAGCAGCCGCAGTTGAAACTTCTTAATTATTTACAGAAAAAAAAAAAAACAAACACAAACTATATGAAGATTATGTAATTAATTTGGAGAAAACCATGAATAATGCCGCAAGTTATAGCGAAGGCATGGATGCATGGATAAGTGTGCAATCAATAACTAAATATTCAATGCAGCTTCCCGCATTTGACGAATACCGTGTGAACTGAAAGTGTAGCTCTGCAACTGTTTTGGTTTTTATATTGTTTTTGTTACTTTTACTTGTACTTCTGTAATGTTGTAAGATTTTTTTGTTTCTAGTTTTTGCATTTTGTGCACACTTGTGTTAAGTGTTTTGTGTCTACTTCATTGATCAATATTTTTTGATAATCACCTCACTGATCAGTGGCTCCGCTAAATGGTTATCGGTGACACGCGTCATTACGGTTTCCGTAAATGTGGATTTTGTTATTGTTTCGGTAATGCGACCCAGTTCCGTGGGTGCAGCGGGGAACATGGGCAAGTCGGGTACAGCCTTATTCACCGTTACGGTGACCGAGGGTCCAACGCCCACCTCATTGCCATTTGCCACATTCACCTGATGTTGACTGCCACCGCTTAGGAAGTGCGCCGGTATCATCGCTTGGAAATCTTCACTAGTCAGCGGTCGAAGCGGCGGCACCTGCATTGAGCGCGAATTATTTTCCAGCATTACATGCAGTTTACACAAGATTATATATATATATATTAATTTATATTTTTTTGTTGTTTTTATTTCAATTAACATTTTTGGTGGGTTTTGCAATGACGTTGCGTGCGTTTGTTTGTTTGGTTGGATTGCGTTTTGGTTAAATAGTTTCAAAAATTTGTATTAAATCAAAAGAAAGAAAAGAGAAAATAATGCTTGTTTAGGTTTTTGGGTTATAAATTCTGCTTAAATAACTAAATTTTTAGTGTCGATGTGTTAAAGCAATTTTGCGCTCATATATATTTATAAGGATGTCTAAATTAGCCAAAATGATAACTATAATACTAATTGTGTATGCACTAGGAAAATAAAAAATAATATGACTGAATAAATCAAAATAATTTCAAGTAAAACGAACCTCGACGATTGGATCCGTGGATATTTAAAAGTTATAAACTAAAAAATAAATAAAAAAAATACCTAAGTATGTAAACTTAATGCGCCTTAAAACGAACCCGTTTAAACATAGAGAAAAATTTTGCAGTGAATTGATACAAATATATATAAAGTATATATAAATATAGGTTCATATGTTTATGCAGGTGTAATAAATGATGTTTATAGTATTAATATGTATACCATGGGGTGCAGGAGTTTACACTGGGCTCTGCAAAATAGTACATACAGTAATAAATTCGTCCAAATACACATTTAACTCTATGTATTCATGCAATAGACAAACACAAACAAATTATTGCGGTTAATTGAAAATAAATTGATTATTTATTTATTTTAGATTAGCACACAATAAAGGAGTAAATAAATATTAAAAATATAATTCCGCATTAAAGGCGGAAATTATTAAACAAAATAAAAAATATCATCAACAATTGTTTGTTATCCGGTGAATGAGTTAAAATATTAAGCACATCTGCGTGCCACACGCCCAGGCAATGTGAAATTCATAATTTACCGCTAAAATTTACAAACCACTCGTGAACGCGTACTTACCTTGCAATAGCAGCTCTACAACAAACATAAAAAATTTAGTATACATATAATGCAAAAAATACTAATTATTGAATTTTCTAGTTTATATATAGTCTAATTGCAGATTCCTTATGGAAGAATAAAGAATTTATTAAATTTATACTTATAAATCTGGATTATATTTCTTAATAAAAGTTTTTAATTTTTTATATTACCGAAACGGTTTCTAAACCACTTTAGCATCTAAAAATAGTTTATTTAATTTTTTTATTAATCATAGTAAGTTTTAATGTTAGAACTCAAAAACTTATTATCTAAAAAAAATACATAAAATCGAGTTAGGTTTTTATTAGTTTTGGACAAATCTTGTTATGCTACAACCAAAGCTGAAAAACACTCGTACTTTTTCTAACCTTTTTAAATCTAACCTATTCTAACCTCAATACATATGTGGTGAGAGTATACATGAAGACGGTGGAGAGTCAATTGGGCGCCGTTTGCAGCAACTCGGACTGACATATGGAACGACTTGGCGCATTTTACGTCGAGATCTTAAATTGAAAGCGTAGAAAAATATAGCTTATGCAAGAACTGAAGTCACTCAACGTTCCCAAGCGGCATTGCCTCGGTATATATGCTTTTGAAAAGTTCCAAGAAGATCCGACGTTTTTGAGCCAAATTTTGTTCAGCGATAAGACCCATTTCTGGCTCAATGGGAATGTAAACAAGCAAAATTGTCGCATTTGGGACAAAGAGCAAGCTGAAGAGATTCAAGAGCTGCCATTTCATCCAGAAAAAACAACGGAGCAAAACATCACTCGTGTCATTCGTCAGTTACCAGTCGAAATGCTCGAACGAGTTATCGAAAATTGAACTCAACGGATGGACCATCTATATTTTTTTCTTCAAAAAAGTAGGGAACCCCGAAATAGATCATCTTATGTATATATAATCGTATTTGTTTGTGAAATGAATTCAATCTGCACTTTCTAACAAAAATTTTAATTATATATTTGTTTCATCGTAATTGCTTATCTATAATGAGTAAGTAAATGTTTTGTAAAGCTACCTTAACATATAACCAATTATTTATCAATATATAAAACTATTAGTTACACCATGTATAATTCAAGAACGACAGGTCAGCTTTTCAACTCCAATTTGCTGAATTCATATCCGCCCCGAATAGCAAAAATAATGTTAAAATATCGGTAAGATATTCTTAAAATGAACATTAGTTTAAAAGATATCCAAAAAACATTGGAAATACTCGAAGCGAAATATATAAAAGGAATAATGTTAAAATTGACAAATTAAGTATTAGTTATATTACTAGCCGCTCAAAGACTTATTCAACCTTAAAGTACTTAAAAATACCCTGCGCATACTTACCTTTCTAGTAATTTGAAATTTGAACGGTAAATTATGTTAACACATTGGCAAATTTTTCGAAAACTTTAACTCAAAATTAGTGTTCGCTACAAATACAATGGCACTTATACAATTCGTAAGCAGGTATGTGAATACAGAGGTGCAGGGTAATGCTTGGTATGCACGCGACTAAATGAATGATAGCAAAAAAAACTCAAATTACTTTAATACAAATATTATATGATTAAATTAAAGCAATTAAGCGCGTGAAATACATATGTATAATTTTGAAGCTAACAACAGCTGTCAGCAAGACGTCACTTTTTTCGAATTTTTGCGCGCTGGAAAATGAGTAGACACATTAAATGTTGGTGTATGGATGACTGACAAACAATAATTATGTTTAACTAACGACCAATGTGTATTTTTATGTAACTAAGTAACGTATTCAATACAAATCGGTTACAGACACACAATTAATATAGTTTAATGCGCAGAAAAGGAAAAATCAAACCTACGCTCTTACATACCTGAGTTTCAGCAGAAGCATCAGCGGCTGGGTTTGGGCCGGCAGTTGGTGCCGCTGTCGGCTTATTTGCCGAATCTGGGGGCTGTGCAGCATTACCGTTGGCTGGTGTGGCTTCCGCTGGCGCGTCTCCCAAAGGTATGGAATTTGCGCGCCTGGGAGCAGGCACCGGTTGACCCGTGACCTTATCGATTTGTTGCTGCTGCTGTGGCTGCTGGTATGGCACAGTTGTTGCCGCAGCCGTAAAACCATTTGTTTTCGGTGCATTGTTACCACCTACACTAGCGCTAGTTAATGTGGCTGCTGTTGCGTTGGGTATCGTAACAGTTTTATTTATTTCGTAAGCCGACGGCTGGGTGGTGTAGTTAAATTGTTGCTGAGCTGGATATTGTGGATATTGCTGTTGCTGTGCCAGTGTCGGTGCCGCTGTGGGCGCCTGTTGCAGATTAGTTTGTGCTTGTTCTGATATTATATCGCCGATAGAGCGATTGAAGTTTGCTGTTGTGAAGAAAAAAGGTGGGAAGAAAAAAGGTGGGAAGAAAAAAGGTGCGTAAGAAAAGGATAATAAAGTTTACATTTAAAACCAAAAATAAAAAATAAAATAAAGCAAAAATCGCAAAACAGATTTTGAGAACAGTTTATGTACCTGGTCGATTGGCGAGATAACCGGAAGGACTGAGCGAATTCAAAACAGCTGGACTGCGTGGACTCAACGGTGCCTCCAAAGGTCCACGATACTCGCGCTGTAACACCAGACGCACAAATCGTTGCGGCTCAGTGAGACATTGCACCGCAGCGTCATGACAGGCGTTCGTCATGTCATTGCCATTAATCTGTTAATACAAATCACACAGTGGTGGATTACACTCAAAGTACACAAACAACACGCTAACATATAAAGTTTGATATGGCAGTGACAACCGCGACAAATTGCGAATGTTAATGTGTAATTGCGAGCAATGCACATACACAACTACATAAATAATAGGTATGTATGTACGCTAGGGTGTGCGTAGTTTCCCAGTTTCAGTTTTTGTCCAAAATAAAATGCCTAAATCATATTTCTTTTATCCCTGTATATAACATAGGGATTTTTGATATTTTATTTATTAAAGTTGTACGCAGTCAAAGTTATATATCAAATACATTGAGCATACATTCCAATGATTTATACAATACATTTTGTATTGCTCATACGTCATGGTGTACTGTATGAATACGAATATAGTATTGTACATTTGATGATAACTTTACCTGCGTATAACTTTTAAAAGAATGTTTTTATGAAAAACATGTTTAAGATTTTTTTGTAGAGCGCAGAATATATATTACAAAATAGTTATTTTAAAGTTGTAGGTTCATTTGCTTTGAAGATAAAAACAATCCATAGCAATCCATGAAATATACGGGAAAAGTTGAATGATTTAAGGCAATTTCTGAAACTTACTTACTCTACACGGAAGGTAACGCACACCCTAAGGAACATATATAATATATATATATATATGTATATGTATGCGTGTGCATACAGTAAAATCATTATAGCATATACGCGTGATGCGTATTGTTGTTGTAGTGTATGTAGGTTTAATGCACTTACAGCCATCACGCGGTCGCCAACCATTATTTTGCCGTCACGATGCGCTAAACCGCCTTCAGTTATGCGTGAAATGAAAATTCCATCGCAGCCATCCTTAAATGGTGGCGAGCCTTTGCCACCGGCAATACTGAAGCCCAAGCCTTGTCCGATTTGATCACGAATTAAAGTCGTGTGCAGTTGTAAATAGCTCAAGGGGGCATCCTACAATGAGTGAAATGCATATAAAGGGTAAAAGTCAAATTGAAGTTGTGAAAATCGGTGAATAGTTCACAGTGAATTCTTTAAATGAGAACTATTACACTTTTAGCATTTAATTGCAGAAAATTCTTCTCATGTGTTTAGTTTAGTAAAAGCTAGCAAAAAATTGGCAAACATGAATGGTTGCATATAACACTGATTTATTTAAAAAACCAACAAAAAAAAAAAGTTCGATTTTCCTCAGCATATTTCGAGGTGAGGTTTCATGTCGTTGGTTTGTTACTATTTATCAAATATTCATATTTTCCAAATTATTTTTCAAATATTTGCTACAAAACTTTTTCCGCATGAGCAAAATTCCGATTTCTACTTTCATTTAATTTTCGTTTGCAAAACTATTTTTCATCAAATTTTACTAAAAATTCTACTGCAAAACTGACCGACAACGTACAAAACCGACCTTGCCATTTTCCAAAACGCCATTTGTTGCTCCCACCCCAACATGTTGCGGTTGGAGCTGTTGCTGTGGTTGTTGTTGCTGCTGTTGTGATAAATTTGCCACATTTGTTGGTCCTGCTGCAGCTGCAGCTACTGCTGCTGTTGTTGGTGTTGTAAATACATTCGCTTGATAGCTGTTTAAGTTGGCAGGCGCTTGCTGCAGTTGTTGTTGTTGCTGTTGTAGCTGCTGTATTTGCTGCTGTTCTGGAATAATTTCAATCGGTGCCGGAATAAATTTTTCATGCTGCATCGCTGCGGCCAACGGTCGCGTTTCCACCGATATCTGCAAGTGAAACAAATTTAATTTGCAAATATTTGTATGTTTATATGCGTTGATATTGCATTGCAGTAAATAAAAATCAATTTGCAAACATATGTATATTAAGCGACATTCGCACTTTCGCAGCGCTAATTGCATGTTTTACGACACAATTTACCGCAGCAAGCATTTAATTACGCAACAAATGAGGGATCGACTCAACTTGTCGTTGACACAACGGCTATATACATACATATACATATATACAACAATATATTTGTTTGTATTTGAAAATGAGCAAACCCACCTGTGAGACCGAGCCATCTTCGCTAAACACTGGATGGCCTATTAGGCGTGTAACTTCGCGTTCGACCACTAACACCAACACCGCACCGCAGGCCTTCAACACCTGCACGGCTTGATAATGATCGGCATCGACCACATTAATGCCATTCACTTTTAGTACTTTATCGCCAACTTTCAAACCGGCCAAATCCGCTGGGCCACCCTCGGTTACGCGTGATATGAAAATGCCTTCGTCGTCGCCTTTGAAAGGTGTAGAGCCCCTGCCGCCCGCTATGCTCAAGCCCAGACCGGCAGTGGTGCGCTCAATATGGATTTCGTATTGTTCCAGACGCAGCTCTGTGAGACCGTCCACGGCGTCTGTAATGGAAGCAGAAGAAGAAGCATTAAATACGACTATAAAGTAACATTTATAGGTACAGATATAACTTTATAACATTTTCACTTTCAGCAACTGCACTGCATATTGCTATTCCCAGAAAAGTTTTGCGCTCAAGTAAGTTTCGTTGAACTAGACTTATTTGTGTTATTTTACTGCGGCGCTCTTAATATCCTCCAAGACAAAAGGTGCAGCGCAAGGCACATTGTTTGTTATGCGCGTCACGATTGTTATTACCATGTAGATATTTGCTTCGGCCACAAAAATGTTGGCCACTCGAATGCACGAGTTTCCAAGCCACACCAAAATATATGTGGGTGAGTACTTAGTTATGATTTCACCTGCACATCTAGCCGCGCTGACAGAGACACTACAGCTGCAGCATTATCATTACCATTATCATTTGCTATTGCCAGGAATATATTTTCTTACCATATTGTCTATTGCGCTCCGGGTCGCCGGTGTACGTCGTTACGATTCGAACACGTTTGTCCTTGCGCCTTAGCGAATTGCTCGGGCTGCGATTGGAGGATGCGAGCGAACTGCGTAAGCTCATATTGGCCGGACTGTTGCGACCGCTGGTGCTGCCCAGCGAGCCCGAACGCCTCGAGCGTGGAAGTGTGTTATCGCCCTCTTTTATTTTTAACTTAATGTTGAACATATTAACGGTTTGCTTTTCGTTTTTCTTCACTTCGTTTTCTACACTTTTTCTTATTCAATAATGCATTCGCTTGTATGTTTGTCTGTATGTCTGTATGTATATTAAAAATCGGCTTATACGCTTCACGTACTCGATATAAACAATAATATTTCTGCTTTCTTTGTATATGTATGTATTCGTTGGAGTAACAGATTTTGTGTAAACGCATCACATACCCGTCGCCTTGGTACTTGCAAGTACATACATATATACAATTATATCTAATGCATCATGATTCTGTAAAGAGCTTTTATCAATTTTATTATTTTGTGCAATTTCATCGAATCGCAAATCGTCCTCGGCAGTCGCGGCAACAGTTGCAGACAGTGAACGGGAAGCTGAAGCAAAGTAGCTGGCATCTATGCGTACGCAATTTTATATAATCGCAAGCGCTAGAGAAAGATTTCAGCAGCAGTGCAGTGGAAGCGCTCAGGCAGATGGCATAGCCAATATAAGTAAGTAAAGTAAAAGCATATGCATATATGCATGAGCACGGGTGTGAGTGTGTGTGTGTGTGTGTGCAGCAGGAAAGCAGTGAAAAAATCGCAGGCAATTTACAAAATATATATTTGCTTATTGGATTTTAATGCGTTGAACTGCATCGATAATAGCTTTTGAAAGTGACTAGTGACTACACAATTCATCGCTTAAATCGTGCGACTAAGAGGCAGCCAACGAAAGCATCTCGTGGCGTAATATATCTCTTTTTGGTACTTTGTAGATTTATTGCAAGGATTTATTTATTGCTTTGAGCGGTAAACTTAAGTGCTAGCGGTATTCCGTAGCTATATCCGGTAGATTTTCGAAAGTAAATTGTAAGCAAAGTGGTGATTAAGGAAATTATTTTGTCTTTTATTCTATTTGACAAGATATTCTCACGAAAATTAGCACGAATTATTGTCTGAGACTATGCTACATTCTCTCAACAATATCAGATCGGAGCACTATAGCATATACATAGCTGCAATGCAATGTTAAGATAAAGATCTTCATAAAATATCTATTTTTCTTATTACATATAACTGTTAGACTAATGCACCTGTAAAGAACTTAATAGTTTTGGTAGTCCCGAAGTTAACGTTGTTTTTTTTTTTCTTGTTTTAAGCCAACGCTTATCATAATAATAATATATAATTTTCTTTTGTAAATTAGATTAGCTCTTTAAACATTTATTTTTAACAAATATTAGGCTAAGCAGCCATTATAGCGGTATCTGCTTTTCCGATTTTTAAAAATATATGAGTAAAGTTAAAAAAAATAGGCCTGAAAAGCTTCAACTTCTTGCGAAATTTCTAGAAAGTTTCATATAAAAAAATACATATAACTCTTTTCTGACCACCAGTGTATTAAATAATTTCACCAAAATTCATCAAAATTCGTTAAATTTGTATACATTTTTTTGTGGTTTTCATTTGTAATAGAAATAAGCGACAGCAAATCTTATTACTTCTAACATTTGATTGTTCAACAAGGGAAATCGATAAAACTTTACAACAAAAATATGCGAAAAGCAACAGTACATGGATACAACGTAGTGCAGATATTGAGATACCGATTAAATGTTGTATACATTCAAAAGACATAAAGTTTTGTCTCTTCAAGGAATAAATAAAATGCTTTATAACTTTGACCGAAATGAAATTCAAATATTATATGTAATTCACAATCTTCGCATCAACAAATTATTGCCAACAAACCACGTTAAACACAATAAATCCCAAACAAATTTTTACGCCAAGCATGTCACTTATTCTGCAATTGTGCAGAGTGAATGTCATTGTAGCGTGAATGAAGATGATCATAAATTTCGAATCGAACAACTAAACAAAGCAAGCAGCATATTGGCACGAAAATCCGATTGACTTTTACAGCAAGCAACCGCACACAACACAACAGTTCAACAACACCACAGGCCGCAACAGCCCGCGGCCGCCCAACAGGAGCTCCACGCGCCAAAGAAACAACAAAGCGAAGGATGCCATGGAGCCGGCTGCGCAGCGCAACAATCAAGTGAGTCGTAATATATAATGGGAAATATGACGAGAAGTAAATGGGAATGCTTTATTTATACAACATCACTGGCCAGCCAAGCATTGAATGGGTCGGACAGTCGGTCAGCATCCCGAGATGACGCACCGAAGACGCAAAACCATTCGAACGTGGCAGAGTTCAATGCTTGGTAAAGTACGTTGAAAAAACAGCTGGCCGGCTGTTCCATTAATGAGTGTGGTAATAGTGGCATTGAATGGACTACACGTGGCAATGCAAGAAATATTATATTAGATATTACAATATTGGAGAATATTTAATTTAACAAATGCAAGCGGGTTTGTTAAAACTAATGCGGCTTTTGTTAGTTAAATTAAAAATTAAAAATTAAATTAAATGTTAATTTTACGAAAAGGTTATTTAATTAGCGACTTCATTATGTGTTGTTCTTGCTTGCTCAACTGCTTTGCCCTTGAGTTTGCGCTCAGCGGATGACAGCAGAAATTCCTAAAAGGTTAATTACCTGCTACTTATAGAGTTAAACGATTACTAATTGTGCTTCTTGTTTAATTAAGTGCAAAAAATTTCATATCTGCCAGCAATTGAACTTCAATTAGACACAAACAAAAGGCAATCAAATCAATCAATAAAACAAAAGGGGAGAGAGCCAAGAGACTAGAGATAATATAAATGTAATTATGGGCTTATAACGCTATCTTGTAACTAAAACTAAAACGGTTATATGTATATAAACATACAAGAAAATACTTTAGGGAATATGTAATACTACAATATTTTTAGTCTAAATTGATTAAGAAAATAGTTTAAAAAAATGAAAGAATTTTGGTGAAAATAATCAAAACAAGAACGATCTGAAAAATATTTTTGGATGTTGTAGCTTTGGCTTAGACAATAACTCATGCCGAATTTTGTAAAGATATCTTTTCAAATCAAAAAGTTTTCCATACAAGAACTTGCTTTTAAGCGGTCAGTTTGTATGACAGCTATATGCTATAGTGGTCCCAAATCGGCAGTTTCGACAAATAAGAAGCATCTTGGAGAGAAAAGAGCTTGTGCAAAATTTAAGATCAATATCTCAAAAACTGAGTGACTGAGTACTGAGTATATATACATAGACAGGTGGGCATGGCTATATCGACTCTCCTTGTTACTCTGTCTATTTATATTCATATATATATATAAATATAGCTGCTAGATGTTAATTTCTTGGTCATATTTTTACATAATACAAAAAATGTAACATCATGCTACTGTATGAACAGCACAATGCCACTTATAACGATGTGACAGCCGACTTTATGTGGCAAAATCGGAAAAATATGTAAAAACCACAGAATGATTTTTATTTAGCAGAAATTTACCAAAATGCTAATTTACATAAACAAATAACTGTAAACTTGTCAGAATTTAATTGCTACAACTGATGCACACGCTCAATTTCTCTAAACGCTCTCCAGTTAGTTTTACGTCAAACAACTTAGTTGAAATGAGGTCAAGAGTAAGTAGCCATGATTATAAAATGCAAATGACAGGCTTGTAGGATAAGCAAAAGTAAGTAAATGAAATTGACGGAAGAACAAGTAAAATGCTAAACGAATTTCAGTTAACATAATTAATGACAGACATTCAAGAGTAAATTTTAGCTTGTTGCAAGAAAGACAATTTGACAAAAGTTTAATGGAAATGTTAACACAAATGAAGTGTGATTGGTGAATAAATGAGAAAGTTGGAATGAATATAATTTAAACAAAATAACAATGAACAATTTGTAACAACATAACAAATTTATTACACAAATTATATATAATTTACTGAAATTTGTTTCAATGACACAAAACTTAAATTTAAATATTTGACTTGAAAAATTAGTTTTTTGCGAATTTTCCAACTTATTTACACTCTTTGTACATCACTCCTGTGTACCGAATGGCTAAGCTTCGCACAAAATGATTAATCGTCGCAAATCTTCGCGCATTTTATTTGACAAATTACACAATAAACCGTTGAAAAGTGTCAAACAAATAAAAACAAGCACTCAAAGAAGTAGTGGCGTTAAAAATTAATGAAGAAAGTTCAACTATAGAAAACACGCAACAAAACCGAGAATCAGAAAACAAAAATTCAAAGAAAAGCGCGAGAGAGAAAGAAAAACAGTAGTTGGAAGGTGGCAAAGCATGAAAAGAGTTGATGAAATTCGAACAGCAAACAACAAATGATGGTGAGTCAAATAAAAACAGTCAAAAGTCAAAATGCGAATGGGGAAAAACAAAA